TATTTTATATATATATATATATATATATATATATATATAATTTTTAGAGATTTTTTAACCATTCTGAATAGATGAAAGAAACTGATGGATTCTAGTGGTCCACGTTTGGACAGATAAGGCATCAAATTATACGTTGTATTGTAAAGCTTGAGAGAAAATACACTTATTGCCTTCTTCTTTACATAATCAGAATGCTAGCAAAGTCGACGGACGTTAGTAATAGTAAATAATACATGAAACAATTCATGCCAAACAATTAGTTTAAAATCAGAATCACAACATTCACAACTGGACCCTTAACCAAACAGAAAGTACAAAAGATCTAAAACTCATGTTCCCCAAGAGTGATCTCGACGTGAACTGTATTGAGAGGAAATCGAGCAAGTTCGCGTCCAATTGAACTCGTTTTCACGGAGAAAATTATATGTGAGCACGTTGCTGATACCTTGTAAAAAAAACCTCTCTCCGTCCCTCGCACGTGACATTGACATGCAATGTCTTTGTTTAATTTCGAGAATATTCGGATGTCTGGTTCATTCCGGGGAACTCGGATCCGAAATGTAAGCTAGATTTTCTCTCTGAAAGAATGTGCGTTAATTATCCGTATTGTTTCGACCTGTCAGTTGTCACTTCTATTGTCACAATCTCGGTTACGATCACTCGTCATTCTCGTCAACCACACTTGTGGAAGTATTTATAGAGGTTAGAAATTCAAGTGTGACTCAAGATTTATTCAAGATCATATTTAACATCTGGTCGACACCTCGAGTAAACTCAATGAGTCATTTTAAGATAATTCCATACTTTGTCATTAAAACCATTCGTGAATAATTAACGCTGCATTCGGCCATCTGTACTCATCATTAGCACTCTACACTATGGTGGAATTATAGATAGGAGCGCCACACAATAAAAGGAACAGAGGACAGAGAACAGAGAATAAGAATTTCAACCTATCAGAAATCATGTATTGTGGAATACACAGTTTTTGATAGGTTGAAATTCTTATTCTCTGTTCTCTGTCGTCTGTTCCTTTTAAGCTAATTCTACAATGTACTTTTCATTTTCTATTTCTTGCTGTTTGTCTCTTGTCTTATTGATCAAAAAGGCAAGAGACAAACAGAGACAAAGCAAGAAACAGGAAACAAAGAGCACATTATAGAATTAGCCTTATTGTGTGGAGCCTTTATGTTTTTTATTGCTGCACTTTCTGAACTGGTACACACAGTGCAATGAGTTGAAGTGAAATAAAAGATTTGTTCGCGTCGTATGCTCCAGCATGCTCCAATGTGTTCCTGCTATAACTCCTACTCACTTCAACCAGCACATTAAAGTGTAAATGCTAAATGATAGGAGCACTTTAGAGCCTGTTAGAGCATGCGACGCGACAAACCTAAATATACATTTGTTTCACTTCAACTTATTGCACCGGTTCAGAGTGCAGCAATAAAAAACAGATCTTATATAAGGTAAACTATATGATATAAATATAAGATATTTTATTGCCCATAATGGCCAGCAGACTAAATTAGGATAACCAATCAAATATTTGTCCTAAATTAGAACAACTAACCAAATGCTTATTTCCTAAATTTAGGAAAAATTTTTGATTAATTATCAAAGAGCAGCTAAAACGTCAAGATGATCATACGTATTTTCCGAAGAATAATAATTAACAAAATACCAGTATATAATTCTATTCTGTATATGTATTAAATTTTATATCTTTATTTCTATCGGATTTTAAATATTATTTGTTATATTCGTTATTATATAAAACAAAATTAAGTTATTATAAATGAAGATCCAGGTTGAATAAATCGCTTTGTCATTATCATCTTCTGATTTAGTTAATTAATATAGTGTATAATTTCGTCTCCGTTCGATCTTCTTTTGTTATGTATTAATTTATAAACAAATAGAGATCGATGATGAATAAATCACTTTTTTTATTAATGTTAACATCAGCGCATTCTAGCAGTTCGATAGTTCGATAATTGTGCCAATACGCATGTTGTGCGAATATGTATTGTTTTATGTCGTTCGTGTTTTAGATTTTAGCCTGTAGACTTGTAGAATAAAATAGAACAAAGTGATATGTGCCACAACTGACGAGAAAACGTCTTCTCTTTTCCGTCAATATCATTTTGAGTATATATAAAAGTTGCTGCAATAGATTAATTCGAATTTCTATATATTATATTGCTTTGTAAGTACCTGATGGCACATATAGATGATGCATTCTGTTTTATGCATGATGTTTTATTTATCCGATTACATTCGATGAGCAACAAAGATAAATAATGCATTATGAGTGAAACGGAATACCCATCCTGTGTCAATTATCCTTAACGAGAAAAATTTATTCGATCAATATTCAAAATTCTAGTAGATTTAACGCGACATATACACATAATGCGATTGATAAGATCGGCGATTATCCAATCGGCAAGAAATTTTGGTTTTCTTACCAGAAAAAATTTTTTCGGCCAACAAGGAATTCAGGTATTTAATAGGAATTAATTAATGATTCTTATTCGATAATTCTTACAAGAATTCTGATTTGTTTGTTTTTGAACATACATATTGGTTGGAATCTAATAGATTTACCATTAAAGCGAGTATACTCTTTCTTCAATGTGATTTAACGAAAACTGGATTTTTTTGGCAAACAACAGTAGTTGTTAGATAGATAAATAGTTTTAAAATGATCGCGAATGATAATATATTAAAAAGTAAGAGAAATAAATAAAAAAGAGATTTAAAAAATGTATTTATCAAACTTGATTTTCTTAAAAATAATGGTCAATAATATCGACGACGTGACGCTTTTATCATAAACGATATTATACAACAATTTAATATTATATTAGTAATCTACAGTAAAAAAAAAAAAAATACAAAATGCTCTCTCACATACTTATAAAATTATTAGCTTTGTGACAATCGATTCCATATAACAATCAGACTCAATTTTCCGTATAATAGCAGCGATATCATATTTATATAATACATATGCTTCTTTTCCACAATCCAAATCTATATAGGTCAGTACTTGTGCCATTTTCGTTTTTCATTCAATATATTGATAGATAAATTTTTTAATTATTAGTTGAAAGGTAGAAGGCCAAAATTTTATGAATTATTATGGCAATCATTTTGGAAAATACTATTTCGAGAAAAATACGATTTATTCTCAAATTTCATTTTTCTCAAGAGTATCAGTGCGCTCCTCGTCCTGATGAAGTGAAAGGCAAGGTTCGTTGACATTTGCAATGAAGCATGACACAACGATAATTCGCAAATCCTTTGACATCTCTGGGAGCTTTTCGATAGAGGCACAAATCGATACAAGAATCAATTCTGTCTTTATTTCTTACTGAAAGTCAAATTTATCAAGTCAAGTTTATCAAAAGCCATTTCTTGTTGATCGAACAAGAATAGGATGACTTGTGTCTCTTACTGGAAAGCTCTCTCTAAACTTTTCTTTTTTGGCTGATGTTTATGAAATTGAACGAACCTTGGCCTATTTGAGTGATAATTTAAGCATTCTCTATCGCTACTTTGTGAATAATAGCTGTCATGTTAGGCCATGTCATATTAAATTTCTAAAAGGTCAGAATGTTAAAAAAAGTAGACATGTGTACCTACAATTTGAGCTCAGAAAAAAATTTTTTTTTATATATTCCCTTTATTATGAAATGATAATCTAACTTCTAGAGAAATAATAAGTTACAAGTTTGGATGCTTATCACAGATTTTAGCACCTCGATTACGTCGATATTTATTAGTTTATTTTGTTTTAAGGTGAGAGTTTTAAATGTACTCCATCAATTCCTTATTTGATTTAAAAAAATTCTTTAGCTTTTAGTAATCATCTTTTTTATGAGAGCTTTTTTAAAGGAAATTGATCTCATAGTTATAGGCAAATACATATATGTAAAAAGTTTTAAACAGAATGAATTTTATAGTTCTAAATGAAAAATGTTTTATATATTATAAAATTATTATATATCAAAAGTAACGGTTAGAAGTTATAGTATTCTACCTCCTATTAAATATAATGAGTCATTCGTGTATGCAATGTCCTGTGCGCAATATCGTTGTGTGTGCAATGTGCTATGTGCAATATTGTCCTGTGTACAATGTACTGTAATATTGTCCTGTGTGCAATACGCTGTGCGCAATACTGTCATGTGTGCAATGTGTTGTGTGCAATAATATCGTTTGTGCAATAATGTCATTTATGTAATGAGCTGTGTGCAATATTGTAGTGTGTACAATGTGCAGTGTGCAATAATATCGTGTATGTAATACGCTGTGTGCAATATTGCTGTGTGCAAAAAAGCTGTCCTAGCAAATGTTGGACTACTGCCCGAGTTTTGTGAATACAGTAGCACATAAATATTATAGTAATACATGATCTTGACAAACTTGGCTATCTGAGTTCAGAGAGAGTGCAAAAATGAAAAAAACAAACCTATTATTTTAATGTAAATTGAATGTGTAATATAATTCAGACATAATATAATTACAATTATTTTATTCCTAACATGAAAATACTAATAATTTTTCTTACATTAATTTAGGTTGTAAATAAATATTGAGATTGAAATTATCATTTTCTAGCTTAGTTTATAACAAATATAAATTATAATTTCGTTTCCGTTCGATTTCCTTTTATTAAATATTAAATTATAAGCAAATAGAGATCAAGGTCAGATAAATTACTTTATCATTATCATTTCCTAACTTAAGTAGTTCTTTAGTAAATCGAATTACCATTGAAATACCTAATTTTTTTATATAATGAAGTTGAAGTACTGAAATTGACATGTACAAAATTCTATGGTAAATCATCGATAAAATAAGAGAAAAAAAAAATTGTAAATGTAACTTTTTACGTAACTTAGTGACCGATAAAGCTCGCAGACGCTTTTTTGATTAACTGCACGCAAATCTCACCATAAACTTTTCTCAAAAACGTGATTATAAGCTTAAAAAAATTACGATTTTGATGGTCACAGAAATGTAATAGGTCATCAGTTATTCTGGAAAAATATTTAATATTGAAGTGGCAAAATATGGAATAAAATATAATGGCGACATGTGACAGATAAATTTGGCAATATCGCTAACACTTGATATTGATACTGTAAAAAAAGAATTTATATTCACATAATTAACTTATTGTTATATTTATATGCATAAACTTGCATATAAATTTAATCCAAAGTAAATATAACTTCACCTTATTTTCATTCGAAGATTCTTGATTTTATTGCCAACTTGAACAATTTCTCCCTTTTCTTCTTCATTTTCTTTTTTATACATTTTTGTTTATAAAACTTTCACATGCAACGTACATTATAATTCACGTTTTTATTCTTGTTTTCGTTCATTGTCACGCGGAATAGCAGAAATCCATGAACGATTAACTTAATCCATGATTAACTTACCAAGCGACTATTATTATATTAATGTGAATAATATTTGTAGTTTGTTCGGGGCACACACATACATGCTTTATCCTTACGAATAAATTTATCCTTCAGAATTAATACTATATTTATTGGAATATTTTATGGTTTTATCATAAAAAATTGCTTTTTGAAAAGCACATATCACTAAAAATGCGATTTGTAGAAAAATTAAAGTTAGTGAGATATATGTATAGAAATAATTTTCATTTCAGAGTCTTCATAAAAAATTTATCCAAATACATTACATTGCAATGTTGCTGGAATGTTTTGTTGCAATATAATAAAAAGCGAACATCTTAATATTTGTTGAAATTTTGCAACAATGATTCAGCAATGATTTTCGCAATCATGCAATATTGCAATGTTTCAGTGAAATCATTCTGCAATGTTTCTGCAATTTTTCTGTGCTGTATGCATCCGATTGTAAAATTTATTTTAAATCATTTGTATTTCGTATGAAGAATTTTGAAGTGCAATTAAAAAGATTTGTGAGTCATTCTATCAATTATAATTAATGAAACTTTTTTGGACTATGTACTTAATCGAAATAATCAGCGGGATTAAATTCGACAATGTTTATACATGAAATCGTTTCGTATGAAGTTATGAAGTACCATTAAAAACACATTTGTGAGTCTTTCAAACACATTTAATTATTTATTATAAAAGCGCGTTCTGAATACGAGCCTTTGTTATCTAGTGACTTTAGAAAATTCCATTTGATACAATCGGTAGTTTCTCTAGTATCTCAGTACTCCTGATTCTTTTCCGATACCATTCATAACAAAATTGCTCCGTACAGCAAAAAAAGTAATTGTTAAAAAATCTGTCATGTAGACAGTGGGATGTATAGACTATAGAACTTATAGTAATAAAAGGAAAATATGGACGTCGAGCTGTGAGCAAGATCTAAAGGATAAAAATATCTTTCTATTCTCTTCTATCCTCTTTTGACATATGCGCAGAAAAAAGAAAAGTTACTGAGCAGGACAGAAATATTTTTCTATCCTCCTTTTGGCATATGCGCAAAAAGAAAAAAAGTTACTGAACGGGATAGAAATATACAATACATCTTCTGTCTCCGAGGGCCGATTGCTCCTTTTGGTTTTACCTATTAGGTAAATCCTATTAGGTAAATCTGGCAATCCGCGCATGTGATTGGCTAATCTTGCTACTTACCTAATAAGTAAAATTTGACAAAAGGAACAATCGGACCTGGGGATCAATTCTGTATCTTGAAACGAGGAAAATTATTGTATAAAAGTGAGCAAATTTACTAGGTATTAACCAATGAAATTATCAGTATTCTAGTAAATTCGTTCACTTTTATCATTTTCGCCTCATTTCAAGATACAGAATCGATCCTCTGAGTCTTGTTCACACTTTTCACTCATTGGTTGGTTAGGCTATTCCTCTTCCATTACTATAAGTTCTATGATCCAAGTCAACTGTAGCTTTTGTTATATGTACACTGGGGCGTAGTTCTTCCCACCTCACGACAGGCGGCGTTCCGACTGCTCCTGTTTCAGGCAAATAGACTTTCCTCTCGACTGTGATCGGAATTGCCGTCAACTCATCGGTGAGCGCCATTTACTCTGATTTACATACTGCGAAGAGGAAGAGTCAGGATGGATTCGACGTTTACACAACGAAAAGCAAGAGAAATTGCAAGAGGTAAGAAAATTAAAGGTTTTTAATACACGAAAGAATCTTATAATTAGTGAATTTTCAACGCCTGCGGTCGTATAAAATACTGATTACACATTGTATACAGATCTCTCAAATCATGCTCGCCGCAATTTGTAATCCACATGTATCCATGCAATCATTTGTTTTAATCCAATGTATATTTTGGCAATAGATTTTAATTTTCATTATTAAACTGGAGTTGTACTTATTATTGATCTCGATCTATTTAAAAAATAAAAAAGTGATTATACTTAAAAGCTACTACTATACTTAATACTATACCTACTTTAGAGGGTCTGTAATTATAATATTCACATTGCTAGAAATTGTTCCGAGATCTCGGATGGAGAAAAAGTTGACCAATGATTAATTGACCGAATTATTAAAATGAAATTTGTTAATTCTTTCTCTATTTGAGACAAAGCTTCTTTCCTATCGGGATTCAAGAAGCCTATTTACAGTTTGATATATCGTGTGTTTAAATCATGTGTATATTTCAGTGTATATATATTTTTTATATTTGTGTATTCAGAAAGTCAAGTGTGTATCTTGAAATGAAATGAAAATTATAAAAGTAAGCAAATTCATTGACCAATTATAAATATTCTAGTGAATTTGCTCATTTTTCTAATTTCACCTCATTTTGAGATTCACAATGGACCCTCTGATATCCTTCAAACGTTTTTCATATTCAGAAATTCTTGGTATTACTAACATGATGAGTTTAATTGAATATGAAATCATGATTATATTTGTACATGCACTACCAACTGAAGAAATTTATTTTAATTTTTATTTATCAAAATAGCTTGAACATGTAAATTAATTATGCTAATATTTTTTTGCAGACTTATGAAATCAAGATAAATTCTTCATCCTGTTAAATAAATGGTAAGAATCATAAATATATAATCACATATCTTAATAACATAAATCTAAATAACAGGATGATATGTCTATATTTCTGAACAAGATAAAATTTTTAATAAAATTTTGTTTTATTATGATTATTTCTACATGCACTACCAACTGAAGTAAATAAAAAAATTCTCTTTTGAAAAATATTACTGTCAGAAACTACTAATTTATGTTCCATTTTTGCAGAATGTAAAAGAACAGAGATTAGCTTATGGAGATCTACTTAGATAAGAATAATGCAAATCTGATAATGTGATGTAAGTATATGTGTACACATAAACTATACAAGAGAGCATCAGAGACTAATGAGACTGATTTTCTTACAAAATTTTTTTTACTTATGTTTTGACTTAATCATTGAATTAAAAATTAAATCAAAAATAACATACCTTACAATTAATGAATTACTTCTATATTTTGACAAAAGGAATGGGACAAATGCATTGCAGTGCAAGAGAAATATATTCGAAAATTACTTGAAAGATTAAATAAATATTTTATTAATTTATATAAAAATTAAATCTGTCTCATTATTCTCTGATACACTCTTATACACATATAATACTTAACATAATATTGGGTCATCTAAAAAGTATCCGCGGTTTTTTGTCACTAGATGGTGTTGATGGGCATATATCGGGCAACACTAATCCGATTGTCAAACGAACGCGCGTCTGAAAGATGACATTTTAGATTACATTTTTTGTAAACAAAGTTTGGTGATTCATCAATCATGTCAAAAGTTATATTGGTTTGAAAATGAGTGAAATATCTGAAGAAATACGCTATGTGATGCTTTTTCACTACAAAAAAGGCAAAAACGCAGCACAAACATGCAGACGAATTTGTGAAGTTTACGGCGCGGATGCTGTAAGTGAACGCAGGACGCAGGAGTGGTTTGTTCGATTTCGTTCTGGAAATTTTGATGTCAAAGATCGACCTCGCTTTGGTCGGCCAGTCACTGAAAAAGTCGATGAAATTTTGCAACTGGTCAAGCAAGACCGGCATGTGAGCTGTCAGGAGATAGCCAATGCACTAAAAATTAATCATATGACAGTTTGGAATCATTTGAAAAAGGCTGGCTATGCAAAGAAACTCAATGTTTGGGTGCCACATATTGAATTAACGCAAAGAAATTTGATTGATCGAATTTCCATCAGCGAAACACTACTAAAACGCAACGAAATCGACCCATTTCTGAAGCAAATTATCGTAGGCGATGAAAAATGGGTGAAATACAAGAATATTGTTCGTAAAAAATCATGGAATAAGCACGACGAACCACCACAAACGACTTCAAAGCCTGAATTGATGGCAAATAAGGTGATGCTGCGTGTATGGTGGGATTGGAAGGGAGTCGTCCATCATGAGATATTATCACATGACCTAACGATTAATTCAGAGCTCTACTGTTCACAACTGGATAGATTACAGGAAGCGATTAAGGAAAAACGACCAGAATTGATTAACAGAAAAGTTGTCTTCCATCATGACAACACCAGACCACACACATCTTTGATAACGCGCCAAAAATTGAGGGAGCTTGGTTGGGAAGTTTTGATGCATCCACCGTATAGCCCGGACCTTGCACCGTCTGACTACCATTTGTTTCCATCTCTGCAGAACTCTCTTGATGGAAAAATATTGGCCGACAAAAGAGCTGTCGAAAATCACTTGAAAAAGTTTTTCGCCGATAAACCACAAAAGTTCTACACGGATGGAATTATGAAATTACTCGAAAAATGGCAAAAGATTATAGATAATAATGGCCAATATATACTTGATTAAAATTGATTTTCAAAATTTCATTCAAAAATTGACAACAAAAACCGCGGATATTTTTTAGATGACTCAATATTACTGTTACAATCAATATACACATTGTGTTTGTATAATAAATATTAAAGATGTACAGTTTATTTTTTCCTGAACAAACCTTATATGTATATAATAAGAAATAAAATATACTTTTTGTCATACAATTGAAAAAAAAAAGAGAATTAAATCGATGCGCTTATTAAGATATACATTATGGAATTGAAAGTCAACAGAAATAAGTTGACTAGTAATTCATCGAATTGTAGTAGCAATTGAAACAATAAAAGCTCATACTTAGAAAATGCACTTAATATTGCACCAGGTTTCTTTAGTATGGAATAAATCCTTCTATTTGTCTAGATAACATTTAATAGGAGGTACATAAAGTAAATTAAAATATGCACTTGTACTACTTTCGGAAAACAGAAGAAGGCACTTTAAGAGGTCGATTCTGTAATTCTTAACGACAGTCATTGATGTCACTGTGCAGATATAGAATAAAAAAGCTGTGCAATGGCATCAACGATTGTTGTTCAGAATTACATAATCGGTCCCTAAATTTAGTAGATAAGCGAAGTGAAAATGAATATTCAACACAAGTCAAAAATTTGAATAATGCAGTGACAATGAAATGCACATGTAAAGGATACGGCACATTTATTATCTGTAATTCTTTCATTCTGTCTTCTTTTGTTCTTTTTTTTTTAAGCAATGCTTCATAAATTGACAATGTTCATTATGCACGTTAGCATTACAAAACTACGAATAATTGAGATGGACCGGTAAAATATGAAATTCTAAACGATGCATCCAGCGTCGAATTTTTGGGTACGTACTACTTTGTTATAAATAATTTTCATATTACTGTATGCGTTAGAAAATGTGTCAGTAGATATCTTTTTTTTTGTGATAATGCGCCATACGAATTCAAGATTACTTGCGCCAATAGTGACCAACTGAAATTCACAATGTCATCAACTGCAACGACTTTTGTTAAAAAAATTATGCTCTTTATTTGGATCTTTAACGTTATCTTTTCATGGTAAAACCACGCGTATCGTTCACAATACATTGCGTAGTGTCAGTATGTGTCAGTAATTGGTTTTCGACTCGACGATAATGAGATTACGTGGGGACACGAGTCCTCAAAAATAATACAATTCTCGTGATAGAGTTGCGTGTGTCAAGTACATAAAACTATATTAATAATATACTTTAAAAATATCATATAATATATATATATATATCTACCCATATTTACCTACAACATAATTTCCTTCATACGTATATACATACATATGCATATGTTGCGCGTTCTTTAGTATCCAACATATGTATATGTATATCACAAGTATCATAAATCTTCAAGGCACTCCAGATGTATATTACATTCATATTTTACAAGTTGTGTTGTCCAGCGTTTAATGAACGGGGCATTTTGACGAGACGTAAAACAGGATTATTTTACTCGTTTTAAAAGCGGCGTAATAACGTCCTGTATGCACGTTTATACAGCAAATGAAAGAGGCGATGCAGGCATTAGGAGAATGAGAAGTATCTTTTTTCTTTTTTTTCTTGTATCACTCAAATGTGTAACTACTTTTACAATTTTTTTTCTCTACGTTGATGCCAAGATACTCTTATAAAGCGTTCAATTTTAAAGCGCCTTCATTAGAAGCACATAATTTTCAATGCTGCTTCCCAATTTTCTTTTGTGAAACTAGACATGTATAATTCCATTTTGCGACAAATCGTATATTAAGACCTATTTACAGTAGATGGAAGCGCGTCTCGCCATGGCACGGTTTTTACACGCACAGGAAACAAATATATTATTTATATCAATAGGAAACGCAACGCAGTATTGTACAACGCTCACTAAACAAGTAATTTTTGTTTCAATTTTCTTACCGATTGTATCATCTATTATATAGATAGTTAATCCCAAATCGTATAGTTTATAGAAACGTGACTACGCTTAATATATATACAATGATAAAACAACCTTGCGAAATGTTATCTTTCACAAGAAAAATTAAGATTTTTTGAAAAATAATATATCTTCTAGATAAATTATATTTTCTAGTGTGTGTGTGTTTGTGTGTGTGAGAAACGGATATCTATGAATCACAAATGTTTCAAACATTATTTGTTGTACACAATTTGTAAGCCACGGCTTTTGTTGAGTTTATTTACATTTAAACTTTTCATATAGATAGTCGAACGCTATTTTCGGTTAGCGCGTGAACTTTCATATATATATATATATATATGTGTGTATATTTTTTTTCTATATGTATATATTAGAGAAATAAACTGCAGCGTGTCATAATGAAGCAAGACACGCCTTCATCTAGTACAAACGGTCGGTAGACAGTGATGCTAAACAAACACGAATATCATTTGCCAGTTATGTTATTAATGCGATTTAACCGTTCCAGTCTATAAGGTCGAAATTTCGAGTACGCAGATTCTAAGTGAATCACACGCTGTATTTATCCAAAATAGAGACTGATATACGAAATATTGCCTACGTGTTTGCTGCCTCCATGTCTCATATAACTTTGGCTTCCCGCTTTAGTAATAGCAAGTTTCACAAGCCTTCGTATTCGTACTTATAAATACAGTATGTTACAGAGAAATATCTATAAGAATGCATGTACATCACCATCGCTTACCCCTAGCAACATTTAGGATAATGTACACAAACAAGACATGTACAGGTTCATCGACTGGATAATAGTTTTGATACACTGTCGCGCAGGTTTTAAACACCAATCTCAGTCGGTTTTCTGCTGATATAATTCTTTTAACGATTTCAGTTCGTCGATTAGCGTCTGATTTCTATTCTCCAGCACCGCAACACGATTTTCTAAGCACTTTATATATTCTTTCTTCTTTCTTCTACATTCACGTGCCGCCTCTCTATACATTAAAAATAGAGATAAGAATATTCTTTGTCATTAAAGGGATTTAATCTTTTCTCATCTTTATATAATCGTCTTTATATAGGATAAGAAAATTCTATTATATCTGTATAGGTAAGTACGGATATAATCTGTATGTGATAGGTCTATTCTTATCACTCACCTGTTCTTAAGCAACCTTAACTCTCTCTTTCGTGCCGCATCCTCCACTACTACTCCGTGACCTGTATAAGCTGTAACATTGCAAGAGACTGCACTCTCCAAATTTTTACGTTACGTGTATCATAATTCTCTATTTTTTACTAGATAGCTTTTTTATTTTATTTGTTAAGAATCATTGTATTTATCAAAAGGACAGATAGTCTAGAAAATACATCAAATTGTACTATTTATATATTATTGCAAATCTAAAAATAGTAAGTAATATTAATATATGTCGATTCATGCAATATAGATTTTTGAAAAATAATTATTACGTCTATATCTATATAAACAATATATATATTACAATAATGTATGATCACGATACAATATTGTAATATAATAGAAACAAAAAAACTGAAAAGCTTTCTTAGAATCTCTGATAGGAAATGATGCAAAAGCACACCTGGGACAAAAAATTGAGTGTCCTGGCCCTGTGCATACTGCACTATAGCTCCACCCGCTGTCGCCGCATTGCTCATAGTTAACGTGTGAAGCCCCGGAACTCCCTCCCCTTGGGTCGCAATTTGAATAGTACCGGCAGGAATTACTGTAAAACAAATAATTTTGGAAATGTAAATATGTTCTAAAAAAAAAAAAAAAAAAAAATATCCTCCAACTAATGATAACAGTGCCGTGCATCGATAACGCACTGGAAATGATAATGCATTTGCGTTGAGACTTTAGATGCGTGATACATAATGATATAATGTTCCTCGTATAAGAAAAAATTATTTGAGTTTTTCGGCGCCTTTTTCTTTTTCGTCGAATGATCCGAATGATAAGTCTATATCGCTATCCCATAAGCAAGAATGCCACACCAAGCGAGTATCGTGAAAAATGATATACAACGTTAGGCAGTACACACAGGGATGAAAGACAAATAATAAATGCGAATGAACCTTTCAAATTCTTTTTTTTTCTTGTCCTTCTTTCTCATTAAGTACTCCTCTAACATCATCTCCCTCGGTATAAAGAATACAAGAACTACGTATATGGACAGCCTATGGAATGTAATACAGCCAGGAAAGATATGTAAAAGGAGATAAAATAACCAACCTGTTTGATAATGGAGCGAATGGGAAGACACTTCACTGTCCACGTTAGAATCACACTCGGAGGATGATTCTAAGGGGGGCAAACGACCGTCTGTAACACCGAATCAACCCAAATCCCCATTAATTAGCTCGTAACCGGTGTCGCTAACACGTGTAGAGTGTGTGTGTGTGTGTGTGTGTGTGTGTGTGTGTGTGTGTGTGTGTGTATGCGCGTTATTTTATATACATCATTTTCGCTTTTTCTTTTTTTTTTCTTTATCAAATTTATACCATGTGTATCCTTATTGATAACATTGAATAAATATATTCTAAATTACTTGCAATTATCTGCACCCAGAAAGTAAAATTGTAATATAGATAAATATGAAAAAAATAATGAAATTTCATCATGTACTACGATTTGTTAAACTATTTCCTTTCTGGCTGCTGATTATACGACATATATTTATCATTGCGCTGCGTGCAGTCAGCTCATACAAAAAGGAAATAGAAAATAGCTGAGAAACATTTATTGAGAATAAGCTCTTAAATTTTAAACGAAAAGATAACTAAATTCCGGATAGAAGTAACATGGAAATAACAATTAATTTTGCGTGAATGGCTGATAGTTCCATATATAAAATAAGAGTCTATGAAATCTTTGTGAAACTCTTATATGATTATTAATATGATTATTAATTTGATAAAATTTTCTCTTCCACAAGTTAAATTATAATAAGAATATAGGGTGTAAAAATGGAAAAGGAGTGGATTTCATGCAATAGAATTTGTTCAAAAAATTAATTCAATAAAGATGTAAAGATTAGTGGTTACTTGCCCGTTTTTAATTTACGATAATTCTTAAGAGAAACGAAATTTTGTTATATATAATGTTTTTTTTCATCAAATATATGTTTTCAATATTTATTTTTAATATGGCTGTCAATTGCACTTACCTTCTAATACATCCTGTATACATGAGGATTAATCAAATTAATATAAACGTCGAAGTGATAATTACAATAATAATGTATGCTCCATAACATATCACGGTGGACATGAGTGTGTATTCGCCGATAAATCGTTGAAAAATTATTTTTTTCGAATACACACAGGTGGGCGATTGCGTTTATCACTTAACTTTACTATTCCAAATAAATTTCTTTTTCAATGTAATATTAAGGTAATGGAATCAGAAAGGAACGATCTGCGCAAATCCTCTCCCAAAATTTCTTCCTAATTTTAATAATCTCCTATGTCTCTGCTTTTTAAGTTAATTTACAGTCACATTGCTGTATAATATTATACGAGCTTGGTATGGCATACTTCTCTTATATACCTGATTGTATGTAAACTGTATAGTATTGTGTTTAAAAACGTAATGTAAGTCTCATTTCACGCGCTAAAACTCATTATGTCTTAAAAGAGAGCTTATATTACTTATTTGCGGTTGAAACCAGAAAAGTTTCAGCGCAATAAATATTCATTATATCGTACCTGTGCTAAATTTGAGGAACAGAATTAAGTAATATATTATTAAAAAGAGAAAAAAGGACATTCACATTAATTTAGTAGTACTAAAATAAATATGATCTTACAGTTCAAATTCTTTATACAACTTCAAGATGCAAATATGCAAATTACTATAGATTTTGTATCATCAACTTATATGAACTAACATGCACGTGAACGTTTTATGTGATTAATGCCCGTTTCCATCAAAGTAGATTAACTTTAATCTCGATTCAATTTACTCTTCGTTTTATTCTAGTTGTAAAGATTAGAAAAAGACGAAGAATAAGTTGAATCGAGATTAAAATTAATCTACGTTGGTGAAAATGGGCATAAGAGCGCGTACAAATATTTATCTTTAACATTTATTTCATTCGCAACGAAATGTTAAACAAAATTTCGCGAATGGTATTAATTCAAAATCGCGAAAACCAGCGACTACACGATTAATATTCTCTATATCGCGACCTAAATTTCTATTGCACAATAGAATGTCTAGCACATTTAGAGACAAGCTTTATTATTTAAGTAAAAACGTTATGTCTTACCTGTAATTTCTCCTCCACCTAAATCGTTGAGAATCTTTCTGTAAGACGGTCGTCTGGTTAGAATATTCCTTTTCTTGGGTGAATCTTCGTCTGAGAAACTATCGTCACTACCAGTTTCCACCACCTTAACAAATAGTATTCAAATTTCAATGATATATTAATAACTGCGTCACACATTTGCGCGTACTGATAACAATGCAGACATCTGGACGATCTTTAGGCTAAGGCGTTATAAAAAGTTAATACATATGACTTACTTGAAGCGTCTGTAAACTGCCTTGTGCAGTTTGTATAACGGAGTTGGGTTTGCTAACCAGAATAACGTTTCCTTTGGAGATTGCGACGGGTTGTATGTTTGTGGCGGTCTGTATCACGGACTGTTGATTGGGTTGTATGACTGATTGCACCTGTGCAAGGATTAAACAAAGTGTTAAATATTATGAACAGTCGAGACAATTATATCATTAAAACTAATTGTAAACACATGATCATTATTCCTTGTACATACAAAATACGTGGTGTACAATATTGTAATAATTAACTATTAAAGGAATAATGTACATGTTGTTTGTGTGTTATGAGAAAGGTGGGAACTTATTATTCATGGAACTTGAAACATATACCCAAAACTTATGCTGAATGTATACCTTTGACAATGTTATATTTACAGAAAGTACTCCCAATGTTCTATAATCTAAGGATGAGTGATTTTGGGAAGGCCTTTGCGTTCCCAAGATGCAACCAGCATTATGCAAGAACGGATGTTTAAATCGCACTTGCATTACAGAGAAACAATAACGATAGTAAAAGGATAAATAAACAGTATGCACATGCTCCGGAATAAAAAAAAGACAAATTCTCAAACATAGATACACAGGAGAGCCTCCTGTATACCTGTGTTATTCCTGACGAGGATAGCGTCAATTGCACAATGCTGGTAGAAGTTACCAAGTGATGAGTTTACTGTTGATGCGTTCTATCGATAGATTGTACCGAGGTTGCAATTGCTGGTGCTGCGTCGCTCTGGGAGCCCTGCACAGACAACGGATCGACGGTTGATCCATTTTCTTCGACCATACTTTCCATAGCCCGACTACCTCGCGAGCTCTGCAATATAAGAAACACTGTATATAATACAAACATTTACGATGTGTTCAACAGAGAAGAACACAATGTCATATCCCATTAAAAATATAATAATTACATTGATTCACAAGTACACATTTGAACGACACAAATGACACAACAAAACCTTTGAATTGAAGGAGCTTTCGATTAGCCGAACACGAATCATTTAAACTTCCCGCCAACAAATGAGATGACTGCTACTGCGTCATTTACATAAGCGGAGCTAAAAATAAGACTGAGAGGGAAGGAGGAGGGGACAATAAACACGCGTTCGAGGTACTGTTTCTTTCTATCTCTCTCCCACTCGACAGGAAACGACGAAGAGAATTGCCACTCGGATAAACGACAAGAGTAATCCTCGTTCCCGCACATACCTAGGAAATACTCGCGCGTAACCCGCGATGCTACCCCTCCCCTAGGTGACGGATGTCAGGATCAGGGTGAAAAGGAGCAGAATCACACGACCCACCTCGTGCCGACCATCCGGAGCTTACGCGGATACGCGCGGTCTCTCTCTCTCCGAGCCGTCGGGTCGCCATATTTCGCGGCATCACGTTAAGCGTAGCAGACGAGCGTAAAACGCGCGTATGCGTCGCGCGGCCACGAGCTAACGCGGAATGAGCGAAACGCAATGCAAGCAACGGTGGACGCGCGATCGTTTCTTCGTCTCGCACGCGCGAACGTCGCGGTGCGCGAGGAGCCGCGCGCTTGGTCCACGGCCCGATTGTTATTATTCTCCAGCTGGGGCACTTACCAGTTACGTATTTCTCGTCACCAAGTTTGCTGCAATCGGAGTGGGCAGTCGGGCAGGTACGTAGCAGCCACGTCAAAACTCCAGTGGCTTCGTCACTGGTGGAGCCCACGACCTCTGAGTTGCGCGTCACGCTCAAGATGGCAGTCGTCGTCGTGATAGCTGCTGCCGCCGCCGCTGTTGTTGCCGTTTCGTGACTTTCGTGATGCTGCTAATGCTGCTGCCAGTGCCGTTGATGTGGTTGTTGCTGCTGACGATTCCCTCTCGACCGCCGCCCTCTGACCCCTCATAATCTGATCTCGTCTATGTTCTAGGCGCGTCATGCAGTCATGCATGCGATCCAGTATGATCGCAGTATCGCGGTTTCAATCCTCAACGACGGCGATTCCCGCGATTTTTTCTGTCGCACTCTATTCAACTCTATTGTACTCTTCTCTCTCTCTCTCTCTCTCTCTTTTTCTCTCTCTCTCTCTCTGCTCTTCGTAGCATGTTTTGCTCTTTATTTCCTCTTATTTTATCGGAAAATACATATAATTGTGATATTCATGATATATAGAAATGTATATAAAAATGTACAAAATAAAAAAGTAATTATAACTGCATTATAAATTATAAAGTGTAGATTCCAATTGGAAACTTAAATATCCGAACATCGGAAAATGGCCGATAATGGCGCTTTATATGATCGCGTCTCGTGCAAACTTCATATGTAGAATGAAAAAACGGATTGTGTATCTGCACATAGAGAGAAAAATGTACTAAATTTTAATAAATATTTGTTTAGTGTGTTAATCGAATATTTATTAAATGTAAGTATATTTATTTGATACAAAAACCAGATTATTAATTTAATTATATTTTTTTAATCGGCAAATATATTTATTTTCCGCAAATAAATGTTATATTATGTAAATATTAAACAATGAATTATTAAAATTTAGTACTTTTTCCTTTTATTGGAAATTTGTTACTGAACTTTTTTTTTACTTTTCTCTAATGTTTATTTAATTATACATGTATTCAATTTTAAATGCATCCTACAAAGAACAGTTGTTTAATTATGAAATTTTTACACTATCAGATTTCGGTAACAATTGAGGGATCAATTCACTAAAAATCAAGTTATTCTAGATTAATTTTAATCTTAATTCAACTTATTCTTTTGCTTTTTCTAAGTTTTGTATCTATTTCTATCAATAAATTAATTTTAATCTTGATTTAACTTAATTTTCATGTTTTAATGTTCTACTTTTCTAGTTGGTAGAGAAAAGGATAGAGTAAATTAAAGAGTAGATTAAAGTTAAGGATTGTGGTCGTAATCTGTATAAATAATTGACCAATTACAGTTGAATGAGAAAGGAATCATCAACTATGATTGGTCAATTTTCACAGATTACGGTCAGTATAAATAATCCTTTAATTTACATTGATAGAAATAGAGCTTAGAAAAAATAAAGAAAGAGAATAAGTAAACTGAAATTAAGTGTTTTTATTTTTCTTCTGTGTATCTGATAAACAATATATTACAATGCAAAAAAAGATCAAATTTATCCAATTTATCTTTTTATTACTAGATTAAAGCCTTTTTCTTTTTCTAAAGCAGGACGTAGTGATGTTCAAAACAGTTTGAAACGCACATGCGATCTATATTCGTTGCACTTTATGGACGAAACTGCTTCAATTTTGGCGGGATTTTCCCTGATTGATGAACAATGGCACCGATTGGTCTGTTCTTTTTAGCTGTACTTATTGCACTTTTTATCCTACCTCCTTTTCTCTCCAACGGGGAGAGAAAAAGAAAAAAAATTCGAAAAAGAGAGCGATTCGAGAAGTTTAATTGAAAAGTACACATCCTCCATTTTTTAAAACAAAGAGTGTTTACAGTGTTTATTAGTGGCGGTTCGTATTTCGTAGTATCAATAAGTATTAACAGAAAAGTAGTGGTCGTTAATCGAAAATTTGTGTTCTAAGAGACAGAAGATCGCTATTCGAAACTACGAAAAAGTATCTCTAACAAGATTCAACGTCTGCCTGGTTTATTGTTAGAAAGCAAAACTAAAACAATATGGAACGATTGCGTCACGTTAAATTTATGGATATTGCTTTTATCGGAATATTATTTTATACGGGAGTCGCGAAAGCAACAGGTCAAGATGAGATAACACCAACGATATTTCCATTGGACAACGAGACACGCAGTATATAATATATAGATATACATTTCAGTAATATTTTGGAATATTTTTAATTATACATTAATTAAAATTTGTTTAATCATTTTACTGTATTTAACGTGAAACCTTATGTATTCAAATGTATATAAATTCACGTAGAAATATTTAAACACTAAAATTGCTTTGGATCTGCAAAAAATTCTCTTATTTAATTTATTTTCATAATTGGTTTATTTAAAAATTTATAAATTATGCAAAAATTCTTCATTAGTTAATGCTTACAAAATATATAAAAATATTTATAAAGTATTTATAAAATTTATAGCATAAATTTATAGCTAAGTAATTTTTATTTTCTAGATGAATATATTATGAAAATATACGATAATGGTTGCGAATGCATTGAATATAATTGTGGATGCTGTCAGCATTTACAATGGGATGTAGTCTCTATGGACGGAAAGTGTAAGTACATAATTATTTATAATCTATATTATAATAAATATTTAATATTGTTATATTCTATTTTGCTACATTTCTATATATTATAGTATGCGTAAATACAAGTTATTTAGAAAAAGACTATGGGTTTTCACTCACAATAACATACAACAACTTTGCAATTATTAACGAGACAATTTCAGGTAATATCTGATTGCACAAATGAAAATATACATTGTCGTTGTCGTATTTCAATAAATAGAATATATATTTTTAGCTCGAAATCCGCCACCTATTTGTTTTGGAGAAAACATTTTAAATGAAGTAGATGTTGAAGTTTGCTTGCATATGTATGATATAAACATTGATAAAGATAAGTTTCGCGTTTGCTTTGAGATTTATGGAAAAATAATGAAACTTCCAATCACTAAAATAAAATTAGGTTGTCTCCAGACTGAACTACATAACAAGATGAAGTATATCGAAAACAATTTGTCAAAATTGTTTCTTAAAAAGGTGAAAAATGATGCACTACCCATTGTGATTGTGATATGAGTAACATACCGAACACTATATAAGAATACAGAATCTCGGTATTGCTGTAGATCCAGATATTTTCTTCAAGTACATTATGATAAATTGTTAATAACAAATGTTCTTCATTTCTTTCATAATTTTACGTTGTATATTTTTATTTCTTGGATTTTAATTTTCAAAATAAATGTAATCGTTCAATTGTGTTAACTTTAAGCAAAAATAATTAATTTAAAATAATTAAAATACTGGACTAGCGAATACACAAGAAATTTAAAAACGAATACTGATTAATGTTAAGAAATGTAAATTTTGGGTGATGTTTATATTGAATTTCTTTGTCAGAATGCATCAAAATAAAACACCATGTTTATTTCTTTTATTTTTGTGCCGCATTGATATATAATGTTTAAGTTTTATTTTTATCTAATGTAAAACAAATCTCTTATTTTGTATTTTATTCAGGATTGCCACAAACTTGGAAAACCGGAAAAAATCTGGGAAATTGAAATTGGTCATAGAAATCAAGAAAAATCAGGGGAAAATGTAAAAACGGTTGCAATTTCGAAATTTGCTCATAATTCCCTGAAATTGCTTCTATTTCAAATAATTGTTATAATTTTTTATATCTGACATTTATAATCAAATATAAGTTCAAAACTTGTGCGATTTTAATAAAATAATTAAAATTTATATTTTATTCAGTATTTTTATTTGATTCTTTTTTTTCGTTATAACTGCATTCTTTTTTTTCCAAAACTAATTTATTTTTTGCTGTGGCTTGAATTTGCATCCAAAATTATACTATGCTACTAAGCTTTTTTGCGTTGTTTTTAATAATATAAACTAGTAGCTTTCCTACAACCCTTGAGTCTAAATGTTAAAATTTACATATTTTATATCACTCATGGAAAATTTTTTATTTTCATTTGGAAAATCTGAAAAAATCAAGGAATTTTAAAATTCATTTTCTGTGGCAATCCTGTTTATTGTAACATTACGTTATATTTGTAATCTTGTCTGTATAGATATTAAATAAATAAATAAATTATTAATATAAATAAATATAACATTAAATATATATAGTGTATTAAATATACATTTATTATACTATATTATTTCAAATATTTTTCTTTGTTATAATTATTTCGCATGTATTATAGGTATACTCTTTAATTCAACATTGCTATCAATAATCTTTTCCACTCGGCGGTGCAATCGTTCTGGAAAAGAAAACAGATATTTTTTCGCATTATCAGTAAAACGAGCTGAGAATTGTAAATATGTACGTTTATTAGAGATAAATGTATGCATTACATTTACATGCTTTCGGATTATTGACAATTGTGTTAAATATCTGATTGGGTTCTTTTAGTAACAAAAATAATTCTCTCCTCGAGCTCATTAATTCAATAGCGCGATCAGAAGCCGTTTAAAGTCGTCGCCGCAGTCATTCTGTAAATGCAAAAAAGAATGTAGGAAAATTAAAGCTAAACATCGATTTAAGGCAAATCATGATGTTCATGTATTTATAATAACATACAACTAATATACAGAGACATGCATGCAGTCAAAAATAGCATAGACTAATTAATGGAATTAGTACAGTGAAAGACAAATTTGCGTTTAAATTAATAATTATAATTTACTAATATACAATAGCCAATCAATAGATCAATTTTCAATTGATCTTCACAGAGACTCATGTACAGTATTTTGATGTACAGATTTTCTATATTATTTTGTAACTCATTTTACACACGTATTGTAGCATCACTCCGATCAAGTGCAAAACATCTATAACTCGAGTAAAACCATATTCACCATTAACAGCCAACGAAACGTAAGAAACTAAATTCAATAATCAAAATCTTTGCAGAATACAATGAAGCGCTATATAATCTCCGCGACATTAAAGTATTTTCAACAAAAGCGTCTGTTGCACGATTGAAATATTTTCATCCGACAAGGGTAAGCAAGAGTCTCTTGTAGTCGCCTGAACAGTCGTCCTGAAATTTATGGAAAGTTATACGGAATACTAAGAGATATAGTATATGAGTTAATAGATTATTATATTATAGTTAATTATTTTATTGTAGTTTAGTGACTGCTGATGCATATAAGTATACAGATGTAAAGGAATTATGTGAATGTGTAATTTAACATTTCGATTGGAGATAAAGCATTGTTATATTAAGTGAATGAAAGCGTAAAATTGAAGCGCTGGAATTAAATTGGATTTCGATCAAATCTGTGTGAATCAAGGAAAGAAATTAATTTTGTATTTATTGAAGAATTTTTCATTAAAAATATTCTGTTTAAATATATTTCTATTATTAATATTATTTTGTATTTTTATTTGTATTATAATATATTGTATTATTGCATTTCTTTATCTCTTATTAATTTTACTGCTACAGAAATAAAATACAATAAAGAGAGCAAACATAATGGATACAATAAATAGCATAAATAAATTGTTTCAGAAATTAACGTGTTATACTTACGTCGATAGCTTCCGCAAGAGATTTTCCATAAAGTCTCTCATAGGCATCCTTAATGTCGCCCAGATCAATCTCTGATCGTGTCACAATAATGCGTATCAATGTCGAATCGTTCGTGCCCATTCCGCGCATAGCTTTGTACAATCTTTCCGCGAAATAAGCAGTCTTATCGGAGGCGCATTTCACTGAAAGAAGACCATTTTAGAACAATGAAAAAAATATACATATGAAAAAAAAGAATAATAAATAGATATTAATAATAGTAACGAATAACTTACTAAATAAATAATAAATAAATATTATATTTAATTTCTTACCCACAGCTAAGTAGCCATCTTCGACAGAACCAGAGAATTCTCGCTTGATAGCATGTTTCAAGGTGTCTCCGGTGAGGTGCTCGTATTCTTTGAAGATCCGTCGCAATTGAGGAAAACTCTTAGTAATGAGAATTGCGTTGAAAATGCTTTCGTCGGTGCCCCACTGTCCCTCACCCGCAGCTTGAAGCCTCTCGGCATCCTGACGTGCGGCCTCCTCATCGACGTCTGGACTCTCGTCTCTACTAGCCTGATCGTTAAGAATAGAGAAAAATAGAGAATAAAAAAACTGACAGAACAGTTGCGACAAATTGTACATCAATTTTCAATTATTACTCACGCAAGACAACGATACCAAAAGCCTCTTGAAATAACCAGAGGTATCGCTTTTGAGGTCGTCTTCCAGCTCTGTATCGTACACTGGAAACATAAATTGAAAAAGTTATATTCGTAATTCATAAACTGTATGAATCGAGCAGAACTACACTGGAAAAAAACTAAATTTTATCTGTTTGAATAATTCTGAATAAATATTTACTAAATATAAACATATATTTATTTGATTAAAAATCCATTTGATTTTTTTTTAAGTAAATATTTATTTACTATAAATAAATGATTTATTAATAACATTTAAAGAAATATGTATCAGAGAGAGATCAAGATTTAATAAATCTTTTTCAGTATAAAAAATGAAAAATATACTTTTTTTAATGAAATACATTTTAATGTTTGTTCTTTACAGGATGGAATAAGGCGGTGCTGACTTATAAGAGATAAAATCGATTCCGAAAAATACGTTGCGTTGAAACTTACGGTCCTTATAAACAGCCGATATCGTCTTGATACCATAATTGCTCAGGGATGCAAGGACTTCGATGAGTGCACCCTCGTCGGTGCCCATGCCGGAAATAGCATCATGCAACTCCTTGGCGTAATACTCGGGAAGAGGCGTCATTAGACCCACGATGGCTTTTTCAAAGTTTCCGGACAACTCTGACTTCAACTCGGAAATGAGGTCCTTGCCGTACATTGTCTTAAATTTGTCGGCAATTTCTAGTCGCTGTACGATACCGCGATGAGCCAAGACGTCCAATACGGCCTGCTCATCAGTCCCGAAACCCTTCATTGCAGATCGTAATAAATTGGCATCTGCTTCGGCATCGAAAGGATCAGCCGGATACACGGTGGGTGTGCACTGGAAACGTATTTAATTTTGCATCATTCTATTATCTTGTTCGAAACGATTATCAACAGACTTCAATGAATGAAATTGAACGTGCATCAAGTTTATTAATTATATTAAAATTAATTAGAGTTAGATAATTTAATTTATTAATCTATATTTATTAATCTAATTTGTAAATCTTTTATATATATATATTCAATTAATGCGACTTACTTTTTCTATTAAGTAATTATATCTTAAATAAGTGAAAAAAAACTGATATTGTTCAAAAACAAAAGCGTAACAAAAGCTCGTGATGAAGCAATTCTATTTTTATTTTATTATTAGGTGTTGGAATTAATTCGTAGCGTTTTTTAATGAAAGAATGTTATTTATTTCACATGAGCATTAAAAAATACATTAATGAAAGTACTTCCCATCACTTGTAAAACGCTACGAATTAATTCCAACACCTAATAAATGTTTATTTTATTAAATGTTTATTTTCAACTTTATTTAATAAATATAATAAACTTTCTGCATTAATTTAATAATGTAAGAGAATTGTTTTTAATCTCGCTTCTTTTAAATTCTATATATTCATGCTAATTTTAGAGAAGAGCAATGTCCGTTTTAATATTAACATATCTATGACTGATTCATTCTTACTAAAATTTAAACTTAATTTTTTTCGTGTTGTTAGCAATAATTCAATTAAACGGCCTTTGTCTTTCTGAATTTAGAAACATGCTGCAAAAATTACAGAATTGTCTATTTATAATAGATAAGAAATTAAAACAGTATAAAAACGAGATGATTCATCTTGCTCAGTCATTATGCGAGATTTTTATTGCGAAGTTATGAGATATTAACATATGAATTACCTGTATGTGATAGTACTGACTAGCTGCCATCTTGCTGATTATCTGAAAGCATTTTTTATACATATTTTATTTAAATAAAAAATTAAGAGCTTAGAATTATTTAAAAAATCTTCGATATTATCAGTATTATTTTAGGAGGCAATTACTTTATTATTTTATTTTTATACATTATATGAATGATTTTAATAATTTTCTCTTTTCAGTCTCAGATCTAATTTTTAAATATTAGATTATTAATTATTAATTATTATAATACTAATATATATTAATCTAAGAACTCTAGAAAATGCAGACGATTTTTTTGGTGGTTTAACTAAAATTCTTTGTTATATTGTTATAATTGTGCGCCTTTAATATAAAATTCATAATTGTCATTAAATTAAAAGTGACGATCTCTGTGATAATAATTCTCATCTACACTATTATCTTTCACGAATAATGCGTGCAAACACGCGATTTGGTGACACTGCTTATGTCCTTGACTCATTTCAGATACGCCTCACATTTTGCGACGATGATCTCATCGAGTAAAATCCTGTATACATTTGCCTGTTGCTAGATGATTATTGAGAATCTGTTGTGTCACTTCGCATAATTTAGATGATGAAAAAGAGGACACGATTTGTAGGATACCGCAAGATCATATCGATTGGATCAGCAAAGTGACATTCGGGGTGTGGCTTGCTTTATACCTCCTTCGACAGCGATGTGCTTTTCTGGAGAACGATATCGGTTCTGGTGGCCGACTAACTAACGGTTCGCAACCAGCGTTCTCGTTACCGAGAGCCTCTTTCGTCGAGGACGGCAGAGAGAGAAGAGGAAAGGAATTTGTTGGTGGGGCGAATACGCGTTTGTGTCTGTCGACCGCGAAAGCATGAAACGATGGTTCGGTATTCTTGCCGGCGGAAACCCGGAATTGCATGACACAACGCGGAACAGATCGGTACCGGTATCTCTCCGTAACTCTCACGTGGTCTTCAAATAGTTTCTAATTATTCGAATTATCGAGCCGTGAATATTAATATTGTTCATGCTTCTCTTACTCTTGGTATTGAATAATGATCCGTGTAAAAAATTAAATTGTTATAGCAATAATAATAATAATGTCAAATTAATGAAATTATTTCAACTTGAATTTTATTTACTTGCTGTTCTTTAATTTTGTTAATATTGATCGCAATAACTATTGATTTTTATTTTCAAGAACTTATGTCCTTGAAGGTAATCTTTGCCAAGCCATCGCTTTCGAAGCAATACGGTGGCAGGAAATAGATTTAATGCAAGAAGCACGAAATCGATACTAATTGTTCGGGTCATTATTGATGATTGGTTTCGCAACACGAAATATTAATAATGACGAACTACATGACTCTAACAGGAAAAAAAGTTTAAAGTTCACGACATATATTTATGTAATATACCCATTAATATAATTGCCAACGATGGCGGAAGTGGCTTTCTTATTCAATCTTTATTAGTTCCCACAATGATTCATGCGAATTTAATAACGTCTTTTTGCTTAGAGAAAAAGAGAACACAAGCACAGATATATGTTTTTAAGACAAATAATTCAATATGTGTAAAAAGTTTTCAGTATCGATTTTAATTGTTCGTGAAATGATAATAATTAAATAATTTAACAAACTTTAATCGTATTATGTCTTATAAGACAAATATACTGTCTAAAAATTTTCTAAAGTTCCCAAAATCAAATTTTTGATATCAAGCTTTTTAAACTTTATGTTGAATTGCCTGTTGGAAAATGAATAATTTGTTTATCGCTAAATTAATTAAATTCAATATATATATCAACAGGATCGTGTAATAAGTTACTGATTACACTACTAAATTAATCTGTATTTTTTTTTACTGATTACAATTGAATCATATTTAAAATTTAACAATCCAAGATTATTGAAGTCAAACAATTGTAGTATGATTAACATGCTGCAATTACTTAGCAATGTCTTGAACAATTAGTTAATCAAGGCCAATACACGATGAAAGTCTCACATATCACTTCAATGCAAACTGATTATACTTTTATATTTTTACAAAATATATAATATATTAGTCTCTCAACATATTTTTTTAAAGAATATTATATTAGCTTCAATAGTTTTCACGTATCAGCTAATTAGAAAGATCATAATTTATTTAATCTACATTTATGTTATATTGTTTGTAGCTTCACTTACAATTTGCGCAGAACACTGGCTTTTGGAACGATTCTTCGTCACGATCTACGAATGTGAATGTTTCGCACTGACACTGGGTGGGAACGTTCTGACAGCGGCAATATTAAGGACAGCATTGAGAAGAGAGAGAGACTATGTGCTGGTCAGTACTGGTGGGGTTGTCGACGTAGCATCGAATAATGACGTGGAGAACGCATCCTGTGGCAAGCCAAAAGATGGCGAGTGAACCGTCGAATTGATGCCATATACGAATCGATAAAACTACAATGAAAACAATATCTATATGTATATAAAATATCAAAAGCCCATCGTATTATATCATTAGATTATATACGTCACAGAATTATATCTCATTATTGATTTATAAACGTACCTATAATTTTAATTTACACGAATTGGAAATAATAATTATGTTACATGATAACTTATCGAAGTTCTTTTATTATGTTTATTTTTAACTTTAAACAGATATAAATTTTATAAAGTTTTTAAAACTGTTGTGTTTATAATTTATAAAAAATATTAAATGATATATGAAAAGGATTATAATATTGTTATATATATAGGATGATTTTTTAAGGTACAGTTTTTAAAAAGTATTCTATGTTATAAAATTTGAAAGATTTTATGAGAAAATTTTGCTTTGTTTTGTAATTTATTATTTTACATAAAATGATATTGGTTGTTAGCTTCATCTTTTTAAGATAAGAGAAGAATGAGTGGATAAAAATTTATTTATCATATCTAACTTGCCTATGTAGTTTCATAAAATGTTTCAGAATGTTATTTGTTACGTATTTCCCTATTTTTTCTCTGAATGTTACTCACGAAGTATATGATTCATAATCCTTGACTCAATGAGAACAGATCGTGACGTTCTTTTACACGTAGAATGTGTGACGAAATCAGCACGCACAGAGTGCCTCGGAAGTCTCGCGTTTTCCTGTGAACTACAGAATGAGACCGAACTATAAATAAACATATTGTAACGTCAGGCATTATTAGTTAAAAGCAAGATTTCATCTTTAACGTAGATACAAGTATCAGTTATGCTAAACCGATTAATGACAAATCGATTGATCTCAAGCAAATTTTTAATATAACTTTAATGTAAACTTTAATTATTATCAGTGCATTTGACGTATCAAGCCAAAGATTTGTGTAACGTACAGAACATTGTTTTCTATTCCTATATATGTTTATTCCCTATCAATGTAAATGATGTCATCATACTGCATAACATGCATACTTGTAAATCTATTCACCCAACACTGCAATCAGATTTTCATGACGCATTTCAGAGGAATTGATGAATTCACTATGGTATCCAGTACAAGGATTATTATTTAAGAAAGTATTCATGATAAAGTAACTTTTGCATCGATGAATCGGTTATGTTAAAAAAATGTACTGTAGAATTAATGATATTCTTGTAAAATTTTTATCGTTACTATAAATATATTTTAATATATATTGCGGCGAAAAAACATTATTAATTTTTATATTGAAAATTAACATTTGGAGTTTATAACTTACAGTAGAAGGAAAACATCGAGAAGCCGTCTGAAAATGTTTTATTAAGATTACATATGGCAAGCGAGGCTTTCGTTTCCAATTCCTCAAATGAAAAATTCATCTCCCAATACTTTTTCCGTTAAAAAGTGCATTCCCTAGTATCTTGCACTTGTTTCTTATCTAGATTATCTAAAATTTGTCTAGGTTTATCACCTTTGCCACTTTGAGAGATTTCTTTCAGACTCCTTGTACGAATCATTCCCTTACATGTCCACGCTGTACAATTGTAGTACAGCGAAGAATGCATGAACTGAATGCTGTAATCATTCGTAATCACGAATATCCTGATAATGAATTTCTCACATTTTGCAGAATATGATACATATTCTTAACAGTAAAATGTATATTTTCAACATACTGTATAAGGATTTATAAAAAAAATTAATATACAATACTGAAAAGCCTTCATCAAATACATCAAAACAGATCTTGATGATTCCGCATTGTGCGTAGCAAAGGAACCATCTTATACATATTTTCAAACCGTACATGCGTACGATGTTACCTTACTTATTTTCTATTTTTCGACTATACAAGGTGTTTACGATATGCAATCTTAATCTCAACATCATCGAAATATTTTTCTTTGAAAATTATTTAAAGTAACCGTTTAATTTTAAATTTTCAATTATATCTTTATCAATTTCATACAATTAGTTCTTTTAGTCATCATTTTGCTGAAGCAATCAAAATATGAATAAAAAGATTCATCTTCTCTTCATCTCTTCAAAAAAAGATTCAACATCTTCTTAACTTAAAAAAATAACAAAGAGTAATTAAAATTGTCAAATATGTTATTTATTATCAAGATTCTATTCTTTTTTTAATGTTTATTCAAATTTGCTTAATTACTATTAAAATAAATTTATGTAATCGGTGGTAATACCGATGAAAACTGCAAATGTAAAAAAAAAGTATTAATTTCCTAATTTTTCAAAAAGTTTTCTTAGAAAACTTTATATGCAGAAAAATTTTATCCTGCATTTTTTATTAATTTTTTTCCAAAATTATCTAATCACATCGCTAATAATCACCTTGTACAATCAAAACCATCTATCATTAATGATTCTATACAGTGCGTATCAGACATCTTAGATCCCCATAAATTAACGATAATAAAGAGAAATTGTATGCAAGAACAATACAAATATAATATACAATGAAATTAATTAATTTTGCTACACAATTGGGGTTTTACTAAACGTCATTAACATTAAATGCGTAGACATTATTAATTATGTTCATGGGTAACTGTGATTTGTTACAAGGGAATGAAAGTAAAAAAGAAAAGAATGAATTCGAGAAACGCATGTTATACTAATTGTGTGACGTTCTTGATATGTTTTATGTATCTAACTATTAAACATTTTTGCAGGCGCAATTAATACAATGTATTTGCAATACCGGTAATCAAAATATCTCTAACGATAATGCCACTTGCAATACATAATGAAGATATCAATAAGATGTATAGGGAGAAAGAGATTTGAGCGATAGTTATAGTAGATTAAAAGTCACTTAATAATAGTATCATGATCGCAAGTAGTAGAAGTAGCAACAGTAGCAGTGACAATAGTAATGCTCTTTCAGCAACAATAATAATACATGTTCCGATATTCATACAATAAAAAGTATAACAAACATGCATTCAACAAATTTTCTATATAAAAAATGAACTGCAAAAGACTAAGTAAATCTGCGACCAAGACGCGATAAAAAATTACTACATATTTTCTTCGCTGGACTCGATACATAAGTGCATATATTTAATGACTTAATTATAAATGCGCGCGTTCATGCGACAATTATTTAGCTTCAGAGTATATGTCATGGAAAAACAAACTATCCCTACATTGTACAGTAAAACGTCGATCATCCGAGAAATATAAATTAACGAGAACCGATGCTGAGTATTCCAGTAGAAAAACATTAAATATAGACATACATATTAAATACAAAAGAAATAAGGATAACAAAAAAATTCTTAGCGAAAAATCTTATATTAAGAGATAATATCTGTAATTTAAATGTAAACTAAAAAATATATGTATAATTCCTTACAAAAACGTAAATTCTCTTTCTAATAACAAGATCATATATAATTCCGTTGAGATAAATATAACATTGCTTTAAACCCTCCAGTACTACTTATATTGTATATAATCTCAAGCTTGTGAATCGCAACAAATATCTTTTAATACTTTGTAATAAATATCTTTAATTACAAATATCTTTGTAATTAAAATATGTTATAATCTAGTGATTGCGATTTGATGCAAAATTAATGCGATCATTGATAAGCGTGGAGCAGATAATAAATTTTGCAATGGCATAGTGCACGAGTACTGCAGGATTCAAAAACTGAAACAAATGTATGTACAAAATATTCCAGATCAGATTCATTCTCTTTTATCTACAAATTCTTTAACTAGCCGCTTAGTTCAAAGAATTCATAGTCAAGAAGAAATACTGCGAGACCTGAAATTATTTTCTCTCTACATATATTATATATATTCGCATTGTAACGCAGTAATTGTGAGAGGCGGAGGATGCGTATTTTAATATCGGATAATGCGTTCAAGGAAGTAGTATTATATTTGTCATACTGATATCGGTACTCTTTTTGTTGAAAGAATATCGTTTTCTTTGTTGTGTTTTCTTTTATCCAGATGGATATTCGCAGGAACGCTTTTATGGAAATATCTCTCTCACAAACACGCACTTGGGACAGTCGCCGTTCTACTGTATTTTATACATAAGAATGGTGCTCGCATACGACAAATTCAACAATAATTGTATTGCATCTTTTACAAAGTGAGACACCTAACTTTACCATCTGAAATATCCTTTTCCATTTAACATGACAGAAAAAGCCATACATACGAAATTTCATAAGATCATAACAGTAGATATTGTGAAAAGTCAAAAGTTTTTTTGTGCATACAATATAATTCACTTGAATAAAAAGAAAAGTGCAAAATAAATATTTAATTCACAAGAGCAAGGAAAATTGTATTTATCAAGATGAAAATTATCACAGACATGCTGTTTCATACGCCAATAAGTGTTTCGCATATCATCAATTAGTTAGACACACGAAAATTCGAAGATAGTTTTATACATATGGTGAAGCAATAATTCTTAAACGACATTCCAGAGAAGACATTATATTCATTTAGTCGATCTACACTATGCAAATATGTTTTCTAAAAACTGTAAAACTTTCATATTTGTCATTGTCGTCTTACATCTAAATTGTTTTAAAATTGAAATCTTAGTAGAAAAGTAAAAAAGTAACATAAAGATGTTATTATATTATTATAAAATAGTAAATTTAAAATTCACAAAATAGATTGGAAAAATTGTAAATAAAGAAATATAAAAGGATATCAATATAACATTTTTTTCTTCCTATATATAAATTGCTTGAAATTGATTTCTCTTATTGTCGATATTTCTTTTCTATTTATATATACAAGCACTCTATACTTGTCTGCTATAGTTTATATAAGTTTATTGAAGCTTTGTAATGTCTTAATTAAAGAAATATAATTACTGTTTATGTGGAAGTATAAACAATAATGGACATGCCTTTGCTTCTCAATTAGCGACATGTCTAAAGAATTATAAAAGCAATAAGTTTTATTAGGGAACTGTTAATCTCTTATAATTTATTATAAGATATCTTTGGACAGAGATTGAATATAAACTTCTTTCACATGTTCGACCACTTTAATAATGTATAAGTTTGACTGTATATTTTTAGACACCCTGTATTATCCATAGAGAGACTAATACATTTTAATACTTGAGCAGATTTAAACAATTTATATATCATTTATTACAGTAGAAGGTCTTTGAGCTCTTGTGTGTCATTTCAAAATCAAGGGAACATTAAAAACTTTCTATTGTAGTACAAAATATTTAAATTATTTAAGTGCGTCCTAACATTTGCAAATATCTCCCTTATGTATTACCCGTATCTATCAGTATCTGGTCGACATGTGATACGGTTTGAATTCTACGCTTCTTAAATCACTAGACTCCCATTCGGTTTTTTATTAAGTCACTTGTCAATAAATTCACTCTTTGAGAATGAGTTCTTCATTCACATATTCTTTCTTCACATATTCGAAATATATGTAAGATTTAATTTCGATAGAGTTAAAATAGACTATATATGGAAGAATAGATAGTAAAGAGAAATCATATTTTCAGGTTTTGAGAACTACTAGTAAAAATAAAATTATAAATGTACTATGGTAATGTATTATAGATTATGAAAGTACTACAGTTAATAACTATTAAATTATTACCATATCTGCAATGAGAAAGTCCACATAGTAATAATTGTACGTATTAAATTATTATTATGTTTTAGAATGAGAGTCTAATAATATAACTGTCGTGAGAGAAGAGAAAGTAATCACATTTCATAGACCATGAATACAAAAACCTTTCAATGCAATATTCATGAAAAAATATCAAGTATTAAATCAGTTTCTTAAAATTCTTCAGATCTTTTTTAAGAGATCACAAGGAATTTTTCTAGTAAGAAATTCTAGTAAAAAAAATAACTAATAATTGTGTTTTTAGAAAGACAAAATCAAAAATGCAAATTCAACATAATTTCTAAAATCATACTAGGCACCATATGGAGATGTAGAAAGAATAAAGCAGATGGTAAAGTCAATGTCCTATTCAATATAACAATAGCATAATTATGGCACAAAACTTATCCTTAAAAAAAGAAAGCTTTAAACAGATCAGTCAATTTAAATACATGTTCAGGGAGCAATCTCTTCTGTAATGTACTATTTTCGAGACAATTATCTCAGTATTTTATAATTTTTCTGCTCGATTAATTTGCATTCGATTTTACTTTGTTCTCGGAACTTCTCTCTTTGTTATTAATCTATATCGTCCATTCGTACATCGCGCTTATAATAAATACAAAAGACCTAAGAGAGGCATTCTTAGGTTTTCCCTATGGTGCAAACTTAAGTTTGCAACGTGTTTGTGATTTCTCGATGTACAGTTACCAGATCCTGTATATAGCCAGCTAATCTAGCGTTTAACGTATCCAAATTTTGTTTTTGAACTTTGTTTGCACTCAACGCAAGTTCTAATTGTTCATGAACTACATTCAACATCTCGCGGAGTTCTGCATTCTCTTTTTGTAGAACCTTGCGAAACAAAAAAAATATATATTTGTTAACCAAACACAAACTTAATAAAATGTCAATGTAAACACGAATATCGATCATCGGGCTTCAGCAAATTCTATGTACATACCACAAAATCCTTATTTTTGGTGGCCATAGTGAGAGCTTTGATTTCTTCGTTTCGTGTTCTCAGCTCGCTTTCCAATGCTTCGACTCTCAATCTTAGCGCTTCGCTATTTCCTTCCGCGATCTTACCGGCTTCCAAATCAGCATATTTAAGTTTTATTTTGGCATTTTCTTCTTTGTACAACTGTAATTGCCTCTTCCATTCATCAACGTTGGCTGTAGACTCTTGTAACGCGCTCGTTAATCTTGCATTATTAGTTTTGAGGGTAGTCAATTCAACCTGCAATAACATATTAGTATTTTACTATTTATACATTATTATTTAGAATTATAAAAGAATATTCTTCCAGATCGTACCTCCCATTTCTTAGCGTTAGCAGAACTTTGAGCTAGAGCAAGTTTCAGCCTGTCGTTCTCATACTTGAGCTGCACCTCACCCGATTGTCCACTTTGTGATGAGCTCAATTGCGCCGATTTCCCTTGATGTTGCGGACTTTCTGTACTCTGAGAAACACTCTGTGATCTTGAATGGACTGCGTTTTTCAATTCGTCGTCCACTTTATTCTGACAACTACCAGGTAAAGGACTGCTGCTTACCGAAGATACACTGTTCTGAGCGGAAATCATATTGGCATTCGGGTTCGGGGTGTTCGACGATGACACGTTGGAGTTAATCATCGACGAGTTCGGTGGATCTATGAGATCCTGTTCTGACGACGGCATGCCTGATCGGGACGTAATTGGACTGACGTTCGCGCTGGTGGCCGGAGTAACCGAAGAACTGTTGGACTGTAACTTGGCATTGGCCAGCTTCGTGGCCTCTTTCACCTCATGAAACTTCTCGATGAACTGTTAACAAACAATCTCTTCTGAGAGTTTGATATATGAAGCTCTTCGCTCGTAAATCGTAAGCAATTGCAATTACAAACCTTTCCTAATTCAGCCTCAGAGGCAAAGCCCAAGCCATACACAGTATTTGCTCTGACGTCCGACCACTGACCAAATTTCTGTGATGTCTTGGTAAAAGTCATGTTTGGAGTAATTGTGCTATTAATGACAGGCTGAAGAAAAAAAAAGAATAAAGTACTTCATAAATTCATCCAATTTCTATTCTATTACAAAAGTCTGGTAACAGCCAAATATTATTTTGTTTAAACAGCCGAATGTTGTTTTGTATTAATCAGAATTGCCATAAAATTGATCAGAGAAATCAGGAAAATGTCAGAGAAATCAAGGAAAAATCGGGAAATTTTATAAAATTTTCTGAAAAATTAAAATTTTTATTTTTAAAGAAATTTAATATGTATACATCATATCTGCAATTTAAAATACTATCAATCAATTAAATGCAAGTATTGACAACTAATACTAATTTCCATTATTATATTAAATTGCACTCTCAAAAAAATATTTGGTTTTTAAATCAGGACAAAACCACAAAAAATTTCAAAATATTAAAAACATCAAGAAAAATCATGAAATTTTTTGGAAGTCAGGAAAAAGTAAGTGGAATTTTAAGGAATTTGTGGCAAGCTCCTGTTAATACAATATTTAATTAAAAAAGAAAAAAATATTTAGTTGATTATATTAGATTTTGATTATATTAATAATGAAACATTTGATTGAAATTATTTCATCAAATTTCGATTATTTTCATTTAAGCTTGATTATTATTACCAGACTTTTTTTCAATGAACACAACTCTTAATTACCTTTGCTCCTTCAATCGAAATTATTCTGTATAAACTCCTGGTCGAATCGTAAAAGAATGATACTGATATTGCTGCCGATGACGCTGGTACCCAAGACCGTTTGGTCTTGGGATCAATGTGAAACACGTGCGCTTTGCACATGAAAATTGGTTGTTCACTGTAATCAATTTGAACAATAATAGAGGAGTGTGTATGCGTTCTTCCATATATGATACAAAGCATCTATTTTTAACCGACCTAGTTAATGCGAGTGCATATTTGAAAACGCACTGTACAGAATTGTTGTATAAAATTATGAAAAGAAATAGAAATATGTAAAACAAAATTCGTAGAAAAATAAACGATATTATATCTAATATTTATATTTAATATTAGCAAATAACATTTAATTTCACCCGATGTTTTATCAATAATATATAATATATAATATTACTAAAAACGAATAAAAACCTCTCTTTTTCGTGCTTAACTTTCAATAAATTAATTTTTTATAAATAAAATGCGAGATATTCATTTAATACACGCCGACTTTGAATAAACCGCGTCGCGGGCAGTGTAAAAAAAATCAGATACATCATGATACATGAATCTCACATAAAAAAATATCGTGGATATTAAAAAAAAATTCTCAGCTATCGAGCGTGGTTCAAAATTTCTGTTAATTTCTGCCGAAATCCGATGAGATCTACTTTCTTCCTAGTGGACGTCGCGTGACAAAAGTATCGTCCTACGAAAAGAATCGCAATTTCTTGCAGAAGGGGAAAAAAGAGAGAAAAAAACGTTGCATTCCGCTCTCGGTGTTATCCGGATACGCATCAGTGTCAATCAGGCCGGCGATCGAGTCCGGGAAGAGACGTAGCTTTACGTCGCATCGAGGGGGGCCGGATCTCCGTCTTCGGTGCCGATCGCGGTGCGGCACGATGCGACGCGGCGCGGTGCGTGCACGCACGCACGCACGACGACGGGATCGACGGGGATGCCGGCGACAGGCGCGGCACTTAACACACGCGCGTATTTCAGAGGGCGGAGGGAGAAGATTAATTCTGTCGTACGCGCGTAATCCGGCACGGCGTTCCGGCACGCGGTTGACGCGATGCGGTTTACGCGATCCATCGTACGTCCTTAAAAGGAAAGCGACGAGGGGAGGAGTAGAGGACGGAGAAGGGAAGAAGAGGAGAGGAAGCAAGGGCCAGGCCAGGCGGGCCGGAACTTCACTTACCCCATTGTCTCCTTGCCCGATGTCATATAAGATGATCTATCCGTTCACTCGCGTACTCTCGTAAATCCTGCTCGCGCGTATTTCAACGCGAGCGAGCGCCGGCTATTTTCAGCCCAGGCGAGGCGTGGATGGTCACCGCGATACCGACGTCGACGAGTACCGTCCGTGCGAGGGCTGAGATCCGCGAGTTGACAGCCGCCATCGGCCAAAACTCCCTCCCTCGCCCGCCCCACCCTCGTCCCTCGCGCGCGCTCTCTCGACTTTCACCACGGCCGCCTCTACGGCGTACGATGTACGTTACGGCGACGGTCACGCGACGGCATGAACGTAGCCGAAGTCAACTACGCCAAGTCCACCTGGATCCGATCGATTTTTCCGTGAAGGGCACGCGCCATTCGCCGTTAACCTCGCCTCTCGACACGCCACTCAACGCCACTCCACGCCATTCCGTGGACACCGTCCAACGAATCCGACGAATCTCCACCGACCGACGAGCGCAACGACTCCGCGATAAATGCCAACTGCCACGCGCGGGCGCAACGCGAACGCACTCGGATTTGCCCTCAAGCCTTGAACGCAACGACGCGATTCGATATGGCCGAATAACTTGGAGTAACTACGAAAAAAAAATTCTATAGGGAAATCGGACGCTCGCGGCTTGCGCTGAAGTTTGCTGTTCGTTGGTTGGTAAGTTGGTTGGCAAAGAAATTGTCGAGTTCAATTTTCGCATTTCAAAGTAGACTTTGATTAACTTAATGGATGATTAACTTAATTGCGTGATCAAATCATGATTAGTTAATTAACTAATTCATATTAGCTGTTATTACGTTAATTCGAATAAAATTATTGATGTTTTATTGCGTTATATAAAGAAGAACAAGAATTACACGAGGGACAACAAATGATAGAATTAGTACATTCTACTACAATTGTAATTCCGCTGTTTTAATTAATCGCTAATTAAGCTAGAATTTGGTCGAGGTCGGTCTAATTTTGCTTATGCTTTGTATGATGCGATACTGCTGGAAAGGTAATTATTCTTTATTTAATATAATATGCATTTGTTTTTACAATTTTATTATATTATACCTTTTTTAGAAATTTAAGAAATATAAAAAAGTTTCTTTTTTTATGTTTTCTAAGATTTTATTTATTTTGTTCAAGTATATAAATGTACCATTCATATGCATTTATTCCACACTAAATAAATTTTATGAATAAAAACAATAACAAAAACAAAAGTAAAAAAGATAAATTCAAGAATTATATTGAAATAAGTTGCAATTAATATTAAAATTAAAATATGTAAATTAAATTTTAATTAAAATTAAGCACATTAAATTATCATTAAATAAATTGTCAATTATAAGTCATCTTTTCTGTTTTCAAAAATATATCATGCATGACATGTTTTTTTATTAATATGAAAATATTGTCTTTAATATATCTATTGTTTATAACAATATCTGATAATTATATATAAAAGAAAATACCTAAAAGAATTAAGCTATTAAATAACTTCATATTTCTAGTGTAAACGAACAAGTATAAAAAACGCAAGTACCTCGTACCCAGAAAGTTTCATGATACTCCTCATAATTCTAATATATATAATTTATGCAGAGATTTGATATTGATTTGATTAACGTTATATACAAGTCAGGAAGATCCCAATTGACCACAGCTCGATTGGACACCACCGATTGGACATCACAGTGACTAGGGACTTTCTAATCTCAATCAAGCGCTACGAGTGGCTCGTGTCTAATCGAATTGTATCTAAGAGTAGCCATACAAGTCTTTATCCATATATATCCTTATGAAAGATGACAGTTATATATTATCCAAAACAATGCTATATTTTATACAATAAATCACTGTGACAAAAAAAGATTACATAAATAATTCAATCTACGAAAGTTGAACGAGCGCGTACAGGCTTAGAATCATACGGAATGATTTTTCAATTGAATATTAATTATCATAGACGGCTCCTCAGTATTATCCAGACTCTGTCGAAAGAGTTGAGCGTGCTGCCAAGCTTCTTGACCTTGTCCACCGGACAACGTTACGATTACATTTATTCGCACCGCCTTTCTCACTTCTTCCGTGTGAAAGTTACTGCAGTTTGGAACGGATATTGTGACTGCTCTGTCGTTATCGAAAATGGCCTCGATCTCCCAGGATACCATGGCATTTTGAAACACCTTCGACTTAGCTTTCAGAGTCAATGTCTCTAAACACGATTTGGAATTCGGGATTTCAAAAGTCCATTTAACACTTCCATGTTTCGCTTGCTGGGATCGCGTCAAATAAACCATCTTCCAATCGTTCTCCACTTTACGGAAGACTCCACCTTCCATGGTGTTCATCCCTTCCAGCCATCCAGATTTCTCTTCCAGAATGGTACCGTTATTACGCACAACGTAATATAGATCTTTAACGATGTTGTACCGCAGTTCGAACGTTTCTCCGTATTTCGAAATGTCCCAAATGTAACTCTTCTCCGTGTCGGCCTAATAAAATGTATTTAATAATTGAGTAATGGAAGTTTCTTTGATAATATCTGGTAAACATAAATTAACAATAATGTTATCAATATTGTGATTTTCCACTCAACAATCTAAATATAATATAACACATATATGTGTATATGTATAATAGTTACATTATTGGATAAAAAATTATATATTGGCATACTACTGTTAGTAGAGGTTTATTGGATAGCTATTTCAAAACGAAATGTAAAATTGATAAATTCATCCGTGAATAGAATTTGCATGACATCCGTGGTGAAAATTTTTCTCATAATTTTTATACGAATTGGAATATTTTTCAGAAATATTCAGAAATATTTGGAAAGTTTACATCTTTTCTCAGAATTTTTCAACATTTCATCATTTTCATACAAGTGAATTCTGAAATATTCTGAAATTTTTTTCTCTCATCCCATAATTTTTAAAAAATATATTTTTAAATTTTTTAGATTTTATAACATTTCATCAGAAATTATACTTACAAAAAAATCTTAAAAATCTTATAATATTTCATAATTAATATGAAACATATATGAAAAATTCTGAAAAAAAATGTAGATTTTCTGAGAAATGTTCCAATTCATATAAAAAAACATGAGAAAGTTATAAAATTATAGAGAAATTCTAAAAAATTATATAGAAATTTTGAAAAATTATATGAAAAATTCTGAGAAAAATTTTCACCAGGGATGTCATGCAAATTCTATTTGAATAATTTATATCGAAAAGAATATAAATCTTTTCAAGTATTTATGCTACGATATTTTCAAGTTTGATTTGCACTGATTCCAAAATTTGAGTATATCTGCACCTGCATAATTTCACCTCGTGCCAATCTCCACATAAGAGAACCCGAGGTTCGCCCCTCGTAGACCTCTTCGTCGGAGTCCTTCTGCGAATTTGAAATGTATAGCATACCGGCGAGCTCCAACAGTTTCCGCTTGACAACGTACTCCCTACGCGCGCTACTGTAATTGGCAGAATTTTGCCGCTGGTAAGTCAACGATTGAATTAAATGTATTAAGCTCTGTTCAGCACAAGTTTTTCGCCTCTTCATGACGGCTTTTTGGTCTCGCGTATAACGCCACGTAACATCCTGTACCTCATCTCTGGAATAGGCTATTATGTATGTCAATTTCTTTTGCCATCCCTTTTCGTACATTAATGGCTTGTCTATGATGTTTTCACATGGGTCTACGTGAATCCATCTCTTGTTCGATGCCGACCATATCTGTGAAAGTAAAGAAACAAATTATGATTACAAATGGACTTCGAAATTAATGAATGATAATTCGATGTACCTCTGTCCAGACGTGATCTGTTTCGTCGCATATAAATCGCGCATCGTAGCCTAACGATCGGCATAAAAGAGTGAAGACATTAGCCCATTCCCCGCAGCGACCGCGTCTCAAGATTAGCAGTGGCTCTGGATGCGTATAACGAGGAAATTCGACTACTATATTGCACTTTTGGCATCTACGATTGAATTAACACCACAGTGATATTGCAAAGTTGCACACAGTACATGATTCTCTGATGAAAACAATTCTAATATTTTATATACGCAAATATATATTTTCTCATAATATTTTTAAGAATTTGTCATACTTTAAATTTATGAAGATTTCTGTAAAAATATCTGAAACTTGTTTAGATTGTATAAGTTTTCTTCAGATAAGTTACAAAATTATTTCTCATAAATGAGAAATCATAAGAAACTTAGAATATTCATAATGAAAAATTCTAAGAAGACTTTCAGAAAGTGAAACCCTTCTAAAAAGTGTTTCAATTTCTATAAAAAAATCAGAGAAATTTTTTAAAAAGTTATAAAATTACACAGAAATTCTGAAAAATTGTATAAAGAAAATCTAAAAAAAAAAATGCCCATAAGATTTTATCGAAAAGAATTTTATACCTATACAACTCTATCCTTGAGCAATGAGGATTTACAGAATGTATCACATTTTCGTATGTACATTCAGTGAAACACGTGGAACACTTTGGATTATTGACCCATTTAAAAAATTCATACTTAAACCAGCGTAGAAGCTCGAGCAGAAATAAATCTTTAGCTATCAATTCTGCCTCGAATTGTGAAGAGGTAGCTTCAGCGTTCTCTAATTTAAAAGATCTGCAAACGCCAGATAAAAGAGTAAGTATATAAAGATAAGTTTTATCAAAGAAGATAAAAAGTATAGATAGGATTAAATTACTTTTGTAGATCCCTCATCTTCGTCATTGTCGCAATTTCTAATTGTACAACAGGTACAACTCTTTTGGCCTTTTTTTGTAAATTCGGATCTTCGTAGTACAGAACATCACGAAAATGTCCAACAATTCTATCGAAAAATGTTTTCTGCGCTGTAGAACTCTTGTTAACATCGTCGGTAATGGGACTGCTTTCTGTCGCAGTGCATAACAGTCTTGACAAACTCTGGAGCTTCAAGAGGGACGCATTTCGTGGTAAGAATATGCGTTCTCCATCCTGTTGCATACAATTGACAGTTTAGCAAGGACTTCGATAAATGTCAGTAATATTCAAATTTAAATGTATACAATAATTAATTTATAATTCCACTGAATATAACTGACAAAATTAACAGTAACATTATATCAATGTTATAATTTCCTATTCAATAATGGCTACATTCAGTAGAAAAAGCAGCTTTGCGACTGTTGTAAGATTCTTTAAAATAATTAGTTACACATTTAGATCTAGTAAAGAATTAAAAGGGTATGGTAAAAAAAATTAATAGAGAACAATGAAGAATGATAGGATTTTTATCAATTTGTACCATTTTCTACTGTCGACCTTGCAATCATCATAATTGATCACAATCCTATTGTATTTTATTAGGTTCTATAAAATTTGTACGAAAAGATTCCTATTAAATATTTATTTAAATTAGTGAATTCACAGATCAGATTCCATATTCAAAATTATAAGATTTTTCTATCAACTTTTTTCCAGTATAATAAAGTGCTCTTGCAAGTTGCAAAGCTGCTATTTCTGCTGAACACAGCCAACTGTTACGTATATTACATGTTATATTACATTTATATTGTTGAAAAATTATAATGGTTGCTCTTCCTTTAGCAGACATAATCGATACATTTTATCTTCTCAGCATTTAACAAATAACAAAAGATTTACCATTTAATGATCCAAGTTAACAAATGTCATTATGTTTTTGTTACTCATTGAATATCAAGAAAGATAGAATACTGTTGTTATTGACTTGTCACTAAATAGAAAGCACTGAAAGATAAAACAATCCATTTATGTCAACAGTGATTTTTCTCTTAAAAGGAAAACAGCCAATATTGATTTAATGTTACTATTTGCATATAGCATGATGCTGCTGTTTCAGTGACAATAATCAAGAAATAAAAATCCAGAGAATTTCAAGATCTTAACCGACTACAGACCTCGACATAACCGACATCGAACAGACACTCCAGAGCACCCATGGCCGGCAGAAGCTTCTCAACGACAACCTCGTCATCAAGGCGTAGTTCGCGGGACCTGTAATTGTTCGGTGATCTCAACACATTCCGGCAAATACTCAGCAACGCTCGTCGAGCTTCATCGCGCACATCTTCCGTATTCTCTTCGAGGGACTTTACGCAACGCTCCAGACTTTCGTCCATGTCGACGTGGACAACACTCTTAGACAACCGGCAATCATCTGTTCACGATCGCTGTCGGGCGCCCACCTGTCGTCATTTTTGCTGACTCCTTGCGCGTCGCTGGTCGCTATAGAGATACAAGATAAGCTCTCAGTTGCCAGTTCGCAATGTTCCCATGAGGCTGCTGCATCAAGAACGAGACGGACGCAGGCGCGTGCACTCGGGTGAGAGGAGGAAGACGTGAGAGAATGATAGGTTTTACCGACGGCAAACGTAACACAAGCTGCGTCACGAAGTTGCAGTGGACATGGATGGACCTAGACGGCGTCTCGTAGGGGACGTTCCTTCATCAGTGTTCATCAGATACATGTGTGCTTTAGATACTCCTGTCAACTCGTCGGGATGCGGTGCGAAGGGGAATGACGGTGTCCGCCCACCACAGGCTGGTGTAGGCCGTCTCTTCCGTGTGTGTCTCACAGTCGGTTCGTATATGGTCACCCGCAGGAATCGACACGCAATCTCACGCGACTTTCGAGAGCCGCGTCAAATCCGCGAGATGCGTGTTTCCGATTGAAACCGGAGTGTTCGATTTCCTTCCTTTTGTAAGAGAACGCCGCAGTTAAACGTACGCACGCGGCAAGTAATGAGGTTGCCACACTGGTGTTAGTGTCAGGAACATGGCTATATTTAGCGTATGACGGCTGGCCATTTCGGAGCAGGAACGACTTGATATAGCTCGCTCGCGGCGTCGCCTGTTGTGTGTTTACGGCCTCGGTTCACGATAACGGCGCGAAAATGGAAGATATATTTCAGTGGTGTCGCGAAGGCAACGCTATGCAAGTCCGCGTCTGGCTGGATGATACGGAGCATGACATGAATCAGGGGTAACTACTCCAGAACTCCTTTTTTGGAAATGACTCGTCCCATCGGACGTCGCGGTTTCTCTGACTCTATAATTAGGCTGGCTGGATGATCCGATAATTCTGTAACGAGTATTCTTTATGAAAAGTCCTCTGGGTAGTCCAGGAAACAATTAAAAATAGTTTGATTATCAAAATAATTGAATCACAAGTGTCGTTCTATCTTTGTTATTCACTGAAAGAAAGATAGAATGATATTTAATTGTGTCATCAAATGAAAAGTACTCAGTGTTTTGTTTATGACACTTTGAATCTTGTTTTTTGGGGGGAGGGGGGTGATATTTCAAGAAACTACACGCATTTGACTTCAAATGTGTACAATAATTTGGATTTTAATATTTTAAATTCTCATTGCAAAATGTTTCATTGTTCTTGAACATGTCATTCTGTATACAGAGACGATCATGGATTTAGTCCACTTCACTGGTGTGCTAAAGAAGGCCACTTAAAATTGGCAGAGTTGTTAGTTACTAGAGGGGCACGCATTAATGCTACCAACAGAGGAGATGATACACCATTGCATCTAGCCTCAGCACATGGACACAAAGAAATAGTACAGTTGGTAATGAAAGGATTTAATAACATTGTTTTGTTTAACTCTCCATCTGCTCTCTCGTATAAGCGAAATTTTATTCTTAAATTCTAAAATAAAGGAAGATCCAAGTTTTTTCTTAAAACATCTTGTTAAAAAATTATTTGATAACGTCATAGAAATGTTGAAAAGTAACCCTGGATTTTCGACATTTTTTGAGAGCTTAAAATAGTAAATCTTTGGACGAAAAAGAAGTAAAAATATGATTGCAGAGAGACAGAGGATTAAGATTATCAATTTAAAATTATAAATATAATTATTTGCAGTTGCTCAGAAATCGTGCCGATGTAAACGTCACAAATGAACACGGAAACACTGCCTTGCACTATGCCTGTTTCTGGGGAGATCAGGCGGTTGCGGAGGAATTGGTCGCAGCAGGTGCTCTCGTATCTATCGCCAACAAAGACGGTGACACCCCTCTTGATAAAGCCAGAGGTGTCGTGGCTAAGAGATTGCATGGTGCGTAAAAATTTGTACATTCTGAATTAGTTCTTAGAGTATATTTCTTGTTTCATTAGAAAAACAATAAAAAGAAAGAAATATCGGCTAATAAGAGTGAATGCAAATGTTAATGCGCAAGTATACATATTCAAAATATGCAATACAAAAGTTACTGAGGCGTTTATATTACATACTTTGAATATATATATTTGCGTATTAATATCTATGTCTTATTAGTCCACACTCTTTTCTTTTTATTATTTTTGTTTAATTGCAGGAGTCCAATTAATTTAATTGTTTGTTTCGTTAGATTTAGCAATGGAATATGGACAAGATTTGAAGAAGATACAGTTCAAAGATCAGAGTTGGTTAGGCTTGAAGACCAGGAGCCGTAAGTGTTTAAATTCCTAAAAAACGACAAATGTCGGGAGTACATTTCATTTTCTTTATAATATTTTCCAGGTGACGCGACTCTCTCGAGATACAAAGGGATCAGTATGGCAGATTTGTCCCTTCACATGCACCTCGCGAGCACACCGAGTGGCGAAACTTGGAGAGGTCGATGGCAAAACAATGATATCGTTGCCAAGATATTAAATATTCGCGAGTGTACCACGCGCATCTCCAGGGATTTTAACGAGGAGTTCCCAAAGCTGAGAATCTTCTCACACCCGAACGTTCTGCCGGTCCTTGGTTGCGTGAATCAGCCTCCGCAGTTGGCGACCGTCTCCCAATACATGGCGCGAGGCAGCTTGCATAGACTTCTGCACGGCGGGACGGGTGTCGTCGTAGACACGGCGCGTGCTCTACGATTAGCCCTCGACGTCGCCAGAGCTATGGCATTCCTTCACGGTTTAGATCGGCAGAATAGATGCAGATTTCATCTCAACAGTAAGCACATAATGGTGAGTTATGGATAGTCAATAATTACATAAGTAATTAAATATCTGGATATACAAGAAATATTTTGTATTTGTGTTGGAAATGATTTACTAAAGGCTTTGTTAAAATTTTGTATTGAAATTTTAACATATTTGAGTGTTAATTTAACATAATATGATTGTTATAAAAATATTTTGTGTGAAATTGATATTAAACACTTCTTAGTAATAAAATAACATAATTTATGAGTAAGTAATATAAAGATAATGTTTTAAAACATAAAATTGTAAGAGGAATTAATAAAATACGTGTTAATTAAATATTAATTTTACTGAAAAAATATGCTTCCACAATTGCTTACAAATTGTGTTACAATGTTAAACTGTATTAATTTTATACATAATATTTGTGTTATTTTCTAACATATTCATCTCGTATTAAATTAACACAAAAATTTGAGTGGACTATAAAATGTATTAAATTTAACACAAATTTTCCAACTGTGCAGTCTAAATTTGAACACAAAGTCTATGTTTATCTTAACACGTTACATTCAATTTCAATATCAGATCGATGAGGATCTAACAGCTCGTGTGAATATGGCCGATGCGAAATTTTCCTTCCAAGAAATCGGGCGAATTTATGAACCGGCATGGATGTCGCCAGAAGCTTTAAGCAAACGTCCGGCGGATATCAATCACGAAGCGAGCGACATGTGGAGCTTCGCCGTTCTTCTGTGGGAATTGGCGACCAGAGAAGTACCATTTGCGGATCTATCGCCTATGGAATGTGGCATGAAGGTGAGCAATATATCTTTTACTTTCAAAATTAGAAATTACGATATAAGATTCTTTTTCTCTTCCCCCTATAACTTTAGCAAGAAATATTTCGTTGTTTTATATATAGCGATCTTCATTTGAGCATTAAATAAAAATTGATAATTAATTTTAGATCGCCCTGGAAGATTTACGCGTAAGCATTCCGCCGGGCATCTCTCCGCATCTCGCAAAACTTATTCGAATTTGTATGAATGAGGATCCGGGCAAGCGACCATCCTTCGATATGGTTGTGCCGATTCTTGACAAGATGAAACGTTAAAATATATAAAATTATTTGATAAAAAGTAACACATGAGAAGAAATAACGGAATACATAGTGCCTAAAGAATCTCTATATTTATTAAATTGCCTGAAGAATTGTTATTAACAACGATAGAATATTTTTGTATCAATATATTCCGCAAATGGATGAATACTGCCTTTAAAAATATAAGTTCTAAATTTAATAACTAATTTTTAATTATTTATATTTAATATAAATTTATAAACGTATTGTAGAAGCGCACGTTTATATTTGTAATCTGTAAAACAAGTTTTTAAATGTGTAGCTCGAATTGTATCTATTTAGTGCATTATCTGTCGAAATCGCCAGGACATTTAATATAAAAAGGATAGAATAATAATGCTATTTACACATTAGAGAACATATTTTTTATAAAATGTTTAATGACACATTTATCTGTGTGTCGTCGGATATATATTATGAATATTATATGTACATTAATTAAAATCAGGATAATTAATAAAACTACATGTATAAATCTATAATATTATTCTCGTTTAAATTGGAAAGCAAGTATGTATTTTAAATAAATACATTTAAATAATGTACTGGGTTAGAACAAAAGTTTATAGCACTTCCCTGGTAAAAATTTTTCTCGGAATTTTTCATATATTATAATTTTTTAGAATTTTTATAAAATTTTATAACTTTTTCACATTTTTTTATACGAATTGGAACACTTCTCAGAAAATCTACATCTTTTCTTAGAAAATTTTCTTTCTTAAAATTTTTCATATATGTTAATCATGAAATAGCATAAGATTTTTAAGAGATTTTTTAAGTATAATTTCTGATGAAATGTTACAAAATATAAAAAATTTAAAAATATTTTTTAGAAATTATGGGAGAAGTCTTAGAATATTTCAGAATTCACATGTATGAAAAAATATTCTGAGAAAATATATAAACTTTCCGAATATTTCTGAGTATTCATTCTGAATATTTCTGAAAAATGTTCCAATTTGTATAAAAATTATAACAAAAATTTTCACCAGAATTATCAAGTGAAATTCAAAGCAATGTTTAGATATTTGTATATAGATTTATTCAATCACATATGTGCCATTCTGTTCTACTACCTTTCGCCACCTTTCAGGCAGTTTCATGATTCCATTCTTCCAGAACTTGGCATCTTTCTCAGTGATGAACTGATCCAGATGGTTTTTACAATCTTCCAGAGAATTGAAGCTCTTTCCATTAAGAGACTTCTGTAGGGCTCGGAATAAATGATAATCTGAAGGTGCTAAGTCAGGTGAATATGGTGGGTGAGGTAGGACATCCCAGCCAAGCTGCACCAATTTCTTTCGGCTTTGCAAGGAGATGTGAGATCTGGTGTTGTGCTGATGGAAGACGACACCCTTCTGTTTGACCAATTCCGGTCGCTTTTCATCGATTGCTGCCTTCAGTTGGTCCAATTGGGAACAGTACTTATTGGAATTCAATGTCTGGTTGTGTGAAAGAAGCTCGTAATACACAACACCCTTCCAATCCCACCAGATGCACAGCATCACCTTCTTTGGATACAGATCATCTTTCGGAGTAGTTAACGTCTCATTTTGTTTTCCCTTTTTTCGTTTCTGCACATTGTTATAAACGATCCATTTTTCATCGCCTATGATCGTCCGTTCCAAAAATGGATCGTTTTCATTACGTTTGAGCAAAGAATCGCTGACGGAAATGCGGTCCATTAAATTTCTTTCCGTTAAGTCGTGAGGCACCCAAACATCGTAGCGATTCACATACCCGAGTGTTTCCAAATGCCTCACGACACTCATATGAGATATATGGAGTATCTCTGCGATGTCCCGTGTTGTGTGACGTGGATTATTTTCAATTAACGTTATGATTTGGTCGTCATCAACGACTACAGGCCTGCCGGAACGTTTTCGATCCTCCAGATCGAAATTACCACTTTTGAATCGAGCAAACCATTTGCGAGCAGTACTCTCAGCTACGGTACCATTTCCGTAAATGGCACATATCTTTTTTGCTGTTTGTGCAGCGTTTTTCCTTTTTCGAAAATAAAAGAGCATCAAATGACGGAAATGCACCTTATTTTCCTCCATTTTTACTGTTAACGTAAACACATTTTAAACTTGGCGAATCCATACAAATCGCTTGGAGAGACGTGTTGATTGAAACATCACATCACCTGTCAGATTGTGAATATTATATTTATTTCAGTCACGCCACGCGTGAAACGATCACGTGTTCAAACGCCACCTATTGAAAAATGCTACGAATTTTTGTTCCAATCCACGATTGCATGCATTTGCGCAATAATCTATAACAACAACAACACACCAATAAATACAATAAATAACAGTAGTAATAATAATAATAATACAATAATAATAGATATATAAATATTTTATAAAATAAAAAATAATTCATAATACAATATAAATAATCTACGGCTGCCATTTATATACGCGCGCGCATCGTACACGCATAAACAAATATCTACACACATACAGGTACACAATCCTCATATTTGCATAATGCGTCTTACGTTTATCCTATAACCTAAAAATGGCTGCGATCCGCAATCTCGCCCGGTTTACGGAAAGGGCGAAGTTTTTGAACAAGTGTTACTTCGCCAGCCAGAATGGTATCCTGAGGTCATTCTCCATAAACGGGGCAGTTATAGGGCTGTCGCGGGAGACACAAACCTTGGTAAAATTCGGTCTGATCAGCGCGGCTACCGGCATCGCAGTGGGTGCAAGTTATGCATATTACAAGATCAACGAAACTCGAAAGAATATCGCCTTGGAGGGAACGGAGTTGAATACCGCATTGCTCGAGCACAAGCCGCCTGTCACTCCGTCCCGAAAGGTATCTTGGCAATCTTCTGTGAGAGATTAGATGTTGCGTCTTGCATTAATGTAATCGCACTCTTACTTCAGATTGCGTACTCCGGGGACATCACCGGTTTGAAACTTACGTTATTCCAGTATCAGACTTGTCCTTTCTGCTGTAAGGTAGATAAAATTTCAGAAATTTCAGGTAGCAGAATCTGTATAATTTTTATTCTTAATTTTTCTTCCTTTTCTTCAATATTTCTTTAATTGTAAAAAGTTAATAATTTTGTCTATTAATAAATAGTAAGGCTCTGTATAAGACAATATGGTACAAAAGAAGGACAAAGAGTCAGTAATGTAGCAAAGAACTTTAATTTAAATTAACATTAAAAATTCATATAAACAATTACAATTGATAAAAACAAACATTTCGACTCCGATCGAGTCATTTTCGATATAGTTGTAATATTTAAACATCGTTCTAAATCAAAAATATATACATGGTATTAACAATACCATTATAATTTTTAATCCCATATTCAAAATCCCATAGTTAAAACGTTTGTTTTTGTCAATTGTAATTGTTCATATGAATTTTTAATGTTAATTTAAATTAAAGTTTTTTGCTACATTACTGACTCTTTGCCCTTCTTTTGTACCACATAATTTTGTCTATATTAACAGAATAATATTAATATTTGAATGTAACATATTTAATATAAATTTAATTTGATATAGATATTTATTCAACAAACAAATTGATGTTATTTGTCATCATTTTAATGTTATTTTGATATTAAAATGATGCTAAATAATATCAGCTTATTTTCTGGATAATAAACTAATCTATTAAGTTAATCTGAATGGAATTATGCTTCAGGTTAGAGCATTCTTGGATTATTATGGGATATCTTATGACGTTGTGGAGGTAGATCCAGTACTCCGAAAAGAAATTGGATGGTCTTCATATAAAAAAGTTCCAATCCTTTTGACCCAAGTGGAAGGAGGCTATCAGCCCTTGAATGACAGTACCATGATAGTGTCACTTCTTGCCTCCTATCTATATGATAGGTCACAAAAGATTGAAGAGTTTGCTGATTATTATCCAAGTGTAGGCATGCATGACGAAACTGGCAAATTCAAATACGAAATCATAAATAAGTATTTCCTCATGTTCAATAATCAACTTCCAAAAAATAGAACAATGGACGATATTATGTACGTAAAGTTTGATATGCACGATTTGATAATTGCTGCAATAGTGAGTTAACTCACATTTTGTAAAAACAAAGTAAATTAGCTCTAAACTTAAATATTAAAATAATATAATTTTCCTTTTTCACTCTAATTTTGAAGTTCATTTGCTCCGTTTTTATAAAATGTGGATTTACTATTGTAGTAAATCTTTTAGTTATCACACTTTATATTATTTTATCATTTTTTATATATTTAGCGAAGAACGTAAGTGGAGGAAGTGGGCAGATGACGTATTTGTCCACACCCTTTCGCCAAATGTCTATAGAACACTCGATGAATCCTACAAAACTTTCAGTTGGTTCTCGGAAGTGAGTGAATCTATGGCTGGTATTCAGTCCATTGGTAGTCCATTCTTATTTCAAGATCGTCTTAAGTAATGTCTTAAGATACTAATACTGCCCTTTGATTGACATCTTAAGACTGTCTTGAATATAAGAATCGATTACGAATACTTATGAAAAGTGATTTAGAAAATACATATCAGAACGATTACATAAATGAGATTAAACAAATTTTTTCATTTAGGTTGGCAAATGGGAGGAATATTTCCCAACGTGGGAGCGATTGTTAATAGTGAATGTAGGCGCGATGGCAATGTGGTTAATAGGGAAGAGACTTAAGAAGAGGCACCGCCTAAAAAATGATGTACGACAATCATTGTACGATGAAGCGAATTACTGGTTGCGTGGCATCAAAGCACGTGGCACCACATTCATGGGCGGCAACAAACCTGATTTATCCGATTTAGCGATATATGGTATTTTGAAGAGTATTGAAGGCTGTGATGCTTTCCAAGATTTGAAGACCCATACGAACATGGGCGTTTGGTACAACGCTATGAAGGAGCAAGTTGATGCACATTCTGGTAGTGCAAATTTAAGTAGATAATGATTGATTTACATACGTGTGTATAGTTATTTATTTACAAATAAATCGTACTTATATAATTAATAATATGGTAAAATAATATTATTTTTGATCAGAAAAAATATATTTATATAATATATGAAAAATATATTTATACAATACTTAAACTGCGCAAGGCAGCTGACGAAATGAAAGTGCGAAGCCTTTATTTTGGGCCTCTTGCATTTCATCACCGTTTGTAACGACATAAAGTACGAATGGCTTCAAGTCCGCTAGAAAATTCAGTGAAAAAATATTTAGTATCTTTATAAAATATATAACATGGCATTATGATTACCTACATGTTTTAGTTATAAATCCATTTCCGCAAAATCTGTCTGTATTATCGAAAACGCCATTTTCTTGCGGATCGGGTATAATTACGAAATCGGTGGTACAACTAGCTCCAGATTCTGCCACCAAGGGTGTGCCTGTTGATACACATAATAATTAAACGCCAGTAAATAGCAAAATATTTTGCGAATTTTACAAAATATGTTCAATCAATAATTCTCGTTAGATTTATACAGGAAATTTTCAAGGAAAAATAACTGATATACCTATTATGTTTGGATCAAACGAGCCCGTATCTCCAGAAACGGAAAAAGAAAGATTATCGACTTCCGACCACTCAATAGTGCAATATCCCAAAGCCATTCTAACGCACACGCCATAACGATGATTCACCATCTGTCGCGTTCCAATCTGAGGAGCTGAAACAACTCTTAGTTTAGATCGTTCATTTATAGTTTCAAATGAATGGTCTAAATACGAAGAGTTCACTGTGACGTTTGACTGACACGTACCTCGGACATTTTCTGTTGTACCAAAGTTAAAGCTCATTACGGTGCCGGAGAGAGTATTGTAATATTGTAAGCATCCATTAGGAGCTAAAACGGAGGCGGGAGACGATTATTCAAGTATCTCAAGACAATGATATAATAAAAATGCGTGTGTACCTCTGCATACAGAATCGCACGCTATTTGCTGAATCCTTATATTCCAGCGTCGATCGAACGCAAAATCCGCGTTGGTGTCGACGGATATCGTGATTGGCGTTGCTCCGTTAAAGTCAACGTATACTGGTAACGAATTTAATTTAATCTATTTTCCTCAACCTGTATGAAAATTTGCACAAATCATCGTTTTATTTACCATGCTGGTTAGTGTTTTCCCCGCATATTCTGGGCACTGTAGATGAACCTCCTGATACGAGAAACACGTCTAAATCGCAAAATCCAGTAGCATTTGGCTGGGCCCAAGTAGCTTCCAGAAAGTCCAGTCGCAACTGCAAACATGAGACATTTAAAGGCTGTAACTTACTAACGCACAGTGTGGATGTTACCTGACATATATTAGGATTACAACGTTGCACTGTGATCGAGCAACGTTCTCCACCTCGATAAGTGATAGGATATCTCGGACTTACGAAATATGTGTTGTTCATGTTGGTGGTGGAGCCGCAAGACTTTTGAACTGTCGAAGTATATGGTATATCAATTTATTTTATAATTAAGAAATTGTAATTTGTAATTATGATTTATTATAAATTATAACTTATTTTATAATTCATATTTCTTTTATGCTACTTACATATGCAACAAGTGCCCAATCTGTTAGCGCACGATCCCGACGGGTTACCTCCGAAATTCATACACTCTCGTCTTGTGAAGCACGTGCCATTAAGTTGATCGATACTCGACAAGCACTCAGAGTTAGCGAAACGTACGACGCTGAATAGTGGGAAGACTGAAGATACATCAAGAGAGATACATCATTTCAAATGTACATATTTGAATGACATTCATTACTTTTTAAATGAACTTACACCTTCCCTGATGATTGGAATGAGAATTAAACGATTTGATCTCCAAAGCATTATCTCTTAAGGACTGATTCAAATTAATAGTCCGAACACTTATGATAAATACGAGAGTAAAATAGCCGACCAAGAGTATACTGATCATGTCTGGAAGTGCGACTGATTTCCAGATATATTCTGGCTCTCAAGGCGTTGCCGAACCCTCGGATTTACTGTTCCTTTAACTGTACAACGTCTGTGAGGTACTTTTGTTTTATTTATTTGAATTGTACAATCGTAGTAGTAAATAGAAAAAATAACGCAAAAGGTTTCGCATTTAAAAAATAAGTTATAATATATATGCAAACAGTGCTGTACAAGATCTAATCCTAAATAGAAAGATTGAAACATTTTTAAAATATTTTGATTTCGCGCGATTAAAACATTTCTAAAATATTTTCAACAATTCAATGTGTACGCTTGATCTATAACAAATGTCTAATTTCACATTATCTCAACTTCATTCAAGCGGTCACGTTCGACGTCCGACAGAACGGGCAATGCCCGTGTCGTAACAACGCTAGCTCGTAGTCATCCGAATGAAACAACTGAAATATTATACAGTCATACAGAACAAGATTCGGTAAAGTTTGATTTTTTTTAAATTGCATTCTCATAACTTACTTTTAAACAGCACTTGCACAAGCTGATCTGGAGATCGGGTAAGAGATTCCTAAAGTATCTAGTCTTAAAGGGTTTAGGCCATTTAATAATTATTACGGTAGACGGATCCATACTTTTCAATACCCCTCTTCCAACAGTTACCGTAGAATTAGTAGATTTTTCCTGTGATAAGTAATTTTTTTTTAAATAAATGAACGCTTTTTGCGATCGTACATTCAGTGTTAATTATACCTCGTATTTCAATAAACGAACAGTGAAGAGATCAGCTTCGTTGGAAGTTATGGTCAATTGATCGCTAATTGCGAGATCATCGGGGGAAGGTAATGGTTCCTCTATCAATTTCTCCGCTTCCTCGTCCGTGATGTCATCCTCCAATTCAAACTCAACTAATGGCAAAATTTCTGTAAATGAATATTGGTTTAGCAATCAGCTGCTCTAAAATGAATTAAAATTTTTACAGTTTTGTCCGCTACTTACCGAACATAACGAAGGAATATTGAAATTTTAAATCACATTGCGTACAATTACTACCAGAGACATTATTCGTCGGCAATAATGGATTGAAGGTGGAGCATTTGTAGCATAGAGGCAATAATTCTTCCGGATCACGATACGGATAAGATCTGGCGATTAGAGTTGACGTCTCTACTTGCGCCAAGAGATTCGCGGGAATCTTCATCGATCGTAATTGGTCCAATATTTGCATAACCAGCTTGTTAGCTCCCAATATTCGTGCTTGTTTCATTAGACAGTACATTATCGTCATCTTCGAAATGCCATCTAATCGCATATTTTGCGTCTTCATGAGCAAATACCTTGAAATGTTGAATAATGCCTCTGGCATCAGAGATGTAAAAGGTTCCTCCTAGAATACATCAATGTTGGATGGAAGGAAGAATAAATAGAAAAAATGCTACATTTAACGTATTAAGATTATACCAGATACTTGAATACTTCATGATACGCATAATAAATATCCGCTTTGTCGGAATAATTGAGAAACATCGTTTTTATCTCTTCTATGCTCTTAGACAAATCCAAACTCAACTGCGACAGGAGCCAATAAAAATAGGAGGCGTCGCAAAATCTTTTCTCTATCACAGCGTTGTTAGCTAGCATCGTGAGTACAAGTATGGATTCTTCTGGTTGTCCCGCCATTTGGAATGCTGTAACAGATATTAAATGCTGAGCAATAATTAAATCTCCGATACTGTGCATATCCATACCTTCTTGAGCCTCGGAAAATCGTCCTGTCTCGGCTAACCATCGTGCGTACGGCCCGTATATTCGTGACTTCAACTTCGGATTCCTTTCCGCAAGTTCGAAAGCCTCGGGCCACGCTTGTGCATCCACAAGCACGTCTGCAACATCAGGATCATCTCCCAGCCGGCTGAAAATCTCCGCTGCGCCATGCGAAGCACCCAGTTGCTTAAGTTTCTTGGCGATCATAGATAGGTTGTCTCTGTCCGCCTTGTCCAATTGTCTGCCTACTTTGATTAACATGTCGATCCAACCATATTCAGCGATAATACTGATGGCACGGTCGATGTCTCCCGCGGAGAGGAACATCTCGGCTGCGGCACGCGGCTCACCCAAGCTTTTCGCCCATTCCGCTCGCCGTCGCAATAATACCGTACGATCCTAAAGGTCCAAATAAAATGTTAAACCTAATGTTTGATAAATATTATCTATTCATTTATTATTCTGTTTCATCAATATTTAACTTTATTATTTTTTAGGCTAATCTTTAAAATATTGATTATAAACGCACCTGCGTGTTGCCGGAGGCGATGAATTCCTGAGCGATGTCGAACATTCGTAAGTCGGAATACATGTCCAGAGCGTATTGTTGCAAACCGGCTTTCTGATAGAGCTTTGCTGCGTCGCGAAGTTTCCCCATAGCGGCTGCGGCAGTAGCCATGCAAGCCTCCCGTCCCCATTCACCCGATTTTAATTTCTCTTCCACTTCGGACACAATTTCTATATAACGTAATTTCTTTATTCGCGCGAATGCCGAATATGCGATGTTTAACTCTAGATTGTCCAAGCACGCTGTCCCCAAAGCGAGCCAGTCCGATTCGGCCACACCTAAGCACGCTATGTCATAAGCGTGGTTGTACAATCCAATATCTATATATTGGTACATGAACAACGACAATGGCACCTGCAAAGGATAATATCATACAAAATATAATAAGTAGTTTGCTATTTTGCTTAATGTTATGACTTACCTCTAACGTCATGATAGACGACCCGTTCAAGCAGTACAGCTTTGAGCCGTTGTGTCCTACGACGAAACCAGAGAACTTCTGCCTGTACTCGGAGAAGTTCGCAACTTTTATCGCGAGATAATTGTTACCCGCGAAACACATGATATCTTCGAAGGCAATGTTGAACGCGACGCTGTTGACATTTTGGAATTCTTGCAGTTTCTCGCCGGTGCATAAATCGAAGACGGATAGGATACCAGCTTCGCTGACTACTGCCATTTTCTCCTTCAAAGAGCTGATATCCAAGCACCTCACAGCATCCTCGACTTTCGCGATGTGCGCGGGAAAAGGATTGTCAAGATATATCTTCATTACGTGTCCACTCTTCAACCCTAATATCAACTCATGTTATAAATGTTGATGTATTATAATAAAACAATAAAAGATCTCACATTAATTATATAGAAAATTAGGTCCCGATGAAATGAGTTAGTTTTCACATATGATGTAGCTTATAATGTAGTGAACAAGAAAGAATATCGTAGATACAAGATTTAATAGAACTTTTGGGCTAAAACTTAATTAGTGCTTACAGAGCACTTTTGTGATACACTATAGATAAAAAAATTATCCATTATTAAATCTCGTGTCTATGACATCTTTTATTTATCACATTATAAACTACATTATATGTGAAAATTAAATCGTTAACTAATTCATAAATTAATTCATTTCACCAGAATTCAATTTTTCATATATTTATAATTCTATATATTTTTTATAATTAGTGCAGGATCTTTTTTATCAAAATTTACCAGCTATTAAACATTCCTGTCCAGCGGGACCGCCTGCTACTTTGATGTAAGTAATAAGTCCATCAAGTATCCATTCTCTTTCTATTATTCCGGCGAACGAGAGACTCTGTAGACGTCTTTCCAGGCACAAAACTAAATGATTCGACGTAACAACTAACAGATTGCAGTTCAACGTCTGATTAAGCTTGTCTCGTATTCTGTAATGCATTCCGTCGCCGGCACCGGACGGTTCGTAAATGATTACGCGCTCGGGTAATTGCACAGCTAATCTGTTTCGATACACTGCGATTCGACATACCTGAAATTGGATATATGGATTTAAACGTAATAACATTGTACCTTTTATTTTTAAGTCATTTAATTATTTCACATAATTTTTTTAGTATTATACTCACCAGATCTTTACATTTAATTCGAACTTTCTGATTCGTAATCAAATGTTGTATTATCACGTCGGTCATGTTCTCTCTGTATGCATATCTATCGCCGTATAAACCGTGCACGATGTTCCAGGATAGTTGTAGATATGTAATTGTTCCGTCTTGGGCACCGAGTACCTGCAAATAATCGTTCAATAACAAATCATTAAGATAAGTAGTACCGCAAACAATATTTCATAACTTACAATATGTGAGGCAGTTGGATGAACGGCACAGCTCCATACCCATGATGAAAAGGTACCACCTACATTAACTAGCTGTATGCCGTCGTGTGTCATCAACAGACATTGTTTATTACTACCGCAAACGAGGAGATATTGGCCTTCCGGGAAGTGAGTGATTTTAAGTGGTGTAAAACTGAATGATCTCTCTCTTCTGATAGCTTCTCCACCGATAGTGTAAAATGAGATGACTCCATTCCATTCAGCAATGCAAAGAACATCCATAGCATCGTCCCTAAGTAAATATCAATAAAACGTTCTTATTTCTTCTCTCTCTTAATTAGATGCAATAATTATATCTTTAATTTTTATAAGATTGTAGGTACTGTAAAGGATTCCATGATAAACTCCAAATTGGTACTCCGACTTGCCGTTCAATACGTGTTTTTTCCTCACCATTCTGAAAAATACAGAATATAAATGAATTTACGTTAGATTAGATAATTTAGAATAAGACACACGTTATACATATATATTTTACTAAATATATTAAAAATATTTATTATATTTAACATTTAAAATATTTAAAAGCATATTAATATTTAATTATATAAAATTTAAAAAATTGTATAGATGAAATAAGTAAAATACTTTGTTTCTTATGGATACATATCCATTTGCAAGACCAAGGGCTAAGTATTGTCCATCTCTTGTCCACGCACAGCAATTGACTCTTCCCCCAGATTTATGTTTTTGCACAGCTTTCTGTTCCACAGACCAAAAGGCGATATCTGAGAGCGAACAGCTGAGAAGCTGATGCGAGACGGGATTAAAATGCATCGACTGTACAGCTTCATTATGTCTAAGCAAAGAAAAATTATTGAAACTATTGAAGGTTCATATTTATTAAAATTATAAATACGCAACCTACGAATATTTTAAAATCCCTTCCAGTTTAGAAGTCCAAATGATAACACTTTTGTCTGCACCTCCTGATGCAAACTTTTTGCCATCCTTTGCATAACATACACAATATACTGTGTCCTTATGCCCTATAAGAAAAAACAAGAATATATTAGAAAAATACAGAATATATTTTAATTGTTGAAGTCTTCTGATAATCACCCTTTAATGGTTGAATCAAAGCACCATCATTGGTCTCATATACAAGAACCTGATTACCAGAAGCAACAACTAATTGTGTACCATCTGGATTGAAGCAAAGATCATATATACTGAAATAACATCACTTTATTATATATATATTTGTAATAAGCGGCAATAAACATTAAAATATGTGAAAAAAAAACAGTGCTTATCTTAATGGACACTTTTAAGTGTCTTTAGCCTGTTCTACATGTGCTTTTTGTTATTTTTTACATCTCGTCTTTTTGCTTCTTATCCGATTTTTTGTTTTATATCGCCCGAGATAAAAGTTAACGAACTTCGAAAGAAACAAGAAATACAAATTGTCGATAAAATGATTGCAAAGGAGAAAAAAGCAAAAACTAAAAACAAAAAGAGAAAACAGAAAGCACATTGTACAATAGGTTTTGATGAAATACAAACAAAAAATAAAATCAAAAACATATTTTCCATTCATATATACTATATATAAACGACTAACAAATTACACAATTAATATTGTATATATTGTTCTCATAATTTTAATTAATTGCTTGTCTCATAAAGGCTTAATGAAGTAAATCGTGCTTCATTGTATTGTAACATTTCTTTATTCTTTCAATTCTTATTCAGCAGATTTATGTAAAGATTAATTTATGATTGTTGAGAGACAATTATCGATCTATTTAAGTTTTACCATTGATCTGATTTTTCTTGCACCTTGTCGACCCATGCTGGATGTGCTCTCATTGTGTCACATTCAGCACAGATTGTCTAATATTGTTTGATCAACAATGATCAACAATATTATTCTATGTGACAGAAATTTGTTTGGCGTTCACACAATTACCATGGTAACCACAATGGACGGGTAAAATGTAGGTAATTCCTTTTCAGAGAACGCTGCTATATCGGATATTGTTAAAAATGGGAACTTATTCAAGAAGTTTGTCTTCTATGGGTAAGAAAAAGTGCAATACTTTCAAGCGCTATAATTATAACATTATTACATTATAATTATAACATTATTTTTATAATATATTGTAATACTTTTATAATACATGCAATTACATTTTATGATCATCATAAAATAAAACTAATTAACTATAATACGATGAATATCGCAACACAAGCAATGATATTCTATTACTATTATTATATACAAGTTATACACCCAGCAAACGAGAATGAATTGAAATGAATTGAAATGGATTCAGATTTTCAGAAATATTGATTCACGAATGTCAAAATAAATGCTTTTCAATCCTGAATGCATTTTTATTTATTTATAGGAAATGCACGAAGCATATCTTTTTGCCTTTCAATCTAAAAATAATATTAGCTTTTTCTGTGCACAACATATACATTTTGAATACTGTTCAATTCAAAATTTTGAATAGGAAATGCAGTTTTTCAATTCAATTGCATCCAATTGAATCTAATTGAATCCGAATGAATCCAATTAAATCCAAAAAAAAGTATTCGCTATTTAAAATACGCGTTATGGATAGAAAAAAATTTCAATCCATTTTAATTCATTCTCGTTTGCTGGGCAAGTAATAATTTGTAACAAATTATAAATTTATAAACTATATACTTACAAATACTTGCATAGTTGCATATAATAATGGTAATAAATCATCATTGCTTGTGTTTTGATGTTCACTATATTGACTATAAAATCAGGGTTGGCAAACGTTACTTTTTAGTTACTTTGCTATTAATTTTTATAATAAACAATTTGATGACGATGTTAAAATTTTTTTATGACGGTAACGTTAACTAACTAAACGCTATAAGGTTGTGCTTAAGTTAGAAGTCACTTTGAAAAGTAACTTATCACAATTATGCGTTTATATTTACTGGAAAAAAGTAATAAATAACGAGTAAGCAGAATTGTTGTTGAGATCGCTAACTAAATGAGATCGCATATGATTGAGAAAGAGATCATTTTACCAATCCACATTCAATCACAATTCAACTACAACAAATACAAGATACTGGGCTGAACAATCACTTTTGAGATCCAAGATTCCAATTTGTGTCTCCTTATATATACATTGTATTTTTTTATATATTGAAAATCTTATTTATTATATAGTTTACTCACTAACATAAACTATTTATTTTTTTTTTTTAGACTGGCCAATATAGTTTATTCAGAAGATAGTTTTAAATAATATGTCTTAAAATGGTCTTTGATTCCTCATCCATCTTGAGACATTACTTGAGACTGTCCTATAAAATCCGACTGTGAATACCACCTAATGTTTTTTTGTCTGTTTTTAAGAAAACTTTTTTTGGTGCTTTTGATTATTATGCTGAAATAATTTAATTTTATATTATTGTATATCTGAGCCTGTATAAAGTATTGAATAAAGAATTTTGATAGTTAAACCATGCTTATCTATTGTAACTTATTAGATTAGGGATAGCTTCAGAAATTTCTTCATCAGTATCAGACTACCAGATCCTCCACGAAGATTCAAAGTGCTCATTTATGTTTTATTCTTATATAGGAATTATAGAAAACAAGTGCTATCGGGAACTGAAGAATTAATTGCATTACTAATTAGATTTCTCAATTAAATGAAGACAAATTTGATAATAAATTCTATTAAACGAGAAAGAATTAAAGTTGTGCAATTTACTAAAATTTTAACAAAAATATAAACATAATACACGAATAGGCATAATATAACTTTGACAATTAATTTAAATAATCGCTTAAATATATAATGATAGACATCACATGGCTGATAATTAAAGTTACACTTGCGAGCTTTACACCTACACACAAAATCTCAGCATACACATGTACAAGATATCATTTCATCCTTCTTATCATCAAATATTAAACAAGGATGAGATATGACAGGAGCGTTGCAAACGTTAAATGAAACACGTCTCTAGTACATATATATCTAAAAATAGGTTTGAATTTGTGGTTTCATTATTATAAGATTATTATACAATAAAATACAGATGAGTGATACGCTCCATACAAGTTTTGCAGAAAATACTAAATAATTACAATATTAAACATTTTATTAAAATATTTGATATATGTTACAATAGTACACAAGATAGATACACTATACAAATCTGGATGCAATCGCCAGTTTAGTATAATCTGCTCCTTTACTGTGAGTTTGTCCTTTCATCTACTCCTCGTTCGGAGTATGTATGGAATAAACACCTATATTCTTGTACGTAGAGATGTGCCATTGTCACCTATGAATACAAGATTGTTACTATCAAATTTGGGAACTTTAGGAACCTGTTGCTGTTTCAATTCAATTCAATATACCTTTTTCTTTTCGTCCCTTAAGTAATAGCTGCGTTCGGCAATGCAAATCTAAGACATCGGAGTGCTCTTTTTTTTACAATGCACGTGACATATGTTATACTATAAGAGCACTCCGATGCCACAGATTTGCATTACCGAATGCAGCTATTATGTATCCATGAATAAAAGCCTGGATTCTCATACGGGTAACAGCGCTTTGACACCGAATGCTGATTAACGAAAAACGGGGTAAATTTTACTCCTACAACCAGCTTTTCACTAATCAGCGCTCTGTGTTAAAGCGCTGTTGTTTGAGGATCCAAGCTTACGTTCTTCCGCAATCGGAACGAAACGATGACCAAGTCAAAAACTCGCGGACGTCGCAAGACTTTAGATCTTTATTCTATCTTTCGATAATTCCACATATTTACTTGCAATCGCTGCGCAAATACTGTAATTGTGATAATAATCGAATTGATGATACTACTCACAGATACTAATCAGTCCACGGTTGTTTCCTTCATAGTTTCCTCCACCATGGTGAATAATGGGAATGATTCATCTTTCTTCTTTTCATCATGATAGCGATCATTAAATAAATGTGTTGCGAAATGTTGAGTCCGTTTCGGGTCGTTTAGACTAAACAGTCGTAAAAATTTTTAAACAGCAAAACTATTATGTGATGCTCAATGCAAAAAAGTAGTCAACGTTACTGGTGAATAAGGATAGTGCCTATTGAACGCTTCCTGTTCAATGCTTCTATTAACTGGTATTAAATTGCTGTTTTCAACATAAGTCTGATAAGTAATTAATTAAAATGAAGAATATTATTTATTATTAGCTTTGTTCCATATTCACTGTTATAATATTAATAATAGAATGAAGGTGACTTATAGATATTGGATTAGCAGTGAAATGTAACACAAGCAATAGTACTATTATCTAGTGAATTTATATATAACTATGTATCAGTATATATAAATTTATAAACTAGATAAATATATTATACATATTATTTATTGATTCATTAGCTTATTTAGTATTTACGTTGTTTTTGTTTTTTTTTGTTTTTTTGTGTTTTTTGTGTTTTTTGTTTTTTTGTGTTTTTTTGTTTTTTGTATTTTTTTGTGTTTTTTGTATTTTTTTGGCATGTAATGTGTGGAATGGTTTTTTTTTTATATTCATGAATTGCTTAATGAATACTATCCGAGTCAGTTTTTCCAAACTTTTTTTTTATAAGTAAAAGTATTATTAATAAAACACATAGTGGAAATACTGAAAAGGTAGTGATGCTGATACTATCAGACATACTATGTTGAAACACAGTATCTTTGTATCTGAGCCTATATGAAACTATTGAATAAAGATTTTGATGATTAAACCATGGTGACCTGTTCTAATTTACCAGATTAAATACAGGAAGTGTCTTCTTCACCAGTATCAGACTACCGATCCTCTACCTCTACAGAGGATCCGAAATGCTCATCTATATTCTATTCTTATATAGGAATTATATCGAAAACAAGTGCTTTTGAGAATTGAAGGATTATTCGCATTACTAATTTGATTTCCGAATTTGATAATAAATTCTATTTAAAGGCGGGAAGAATTAAAGTTATGCAATTTGTTGTGCAAAATTTTAATGAAAATATCATAAATCAATTAACATAGGCATAACTTTGACAATTAATTAAAATAATCGCTTAAATACAAAGTGATAGACATCACGTGGTTGATAATTGAACTAAAGTTACATTTGCGAGCGTTATACTTACGTCAAAATCACATACATAGGATACGTGATATCATTCCATCCTTGTCATGAAACATTAAACAAGGATGAGGTGCTTTTCAATTGCTTATGTGATCTTTGTTTCCTATTTTTTATTGCTTGTCTCTTGTCTTTTTGGTCAATAAAACAAGAAAATATAGAATTAGCCTAACACATCTTAACACAACGTACACAGGAATGCACAAAGTGTATTATTGTGCACGATTCAATTGGAACAGAATGTGTACGCTGTGCATGGTTGAGATCCATTTCGGATAGAGTTAGATTAAATGTAGCTTTTCCCGCCTGTATTAAATAAGAAAAAGTGCCGGCTACGCAACGTCTTCCAACCTCATTTATACCCGCCACCATTATGAACATATAAAT